TGTAACTAGCGGAATATTTACAGAGCAGGTACGATAAATTATCTTCCTTCACAAAGATTTATCAAACATTTACTTATTTTGTTCTTCATTTTCAACTTTTTTGGGATCCAATGTTTCTTTTTCAAGATTATCTATTTTATAAGTATAAAAAGTCATTGTCACAAAAATATGTCTACCTGTGATGAAATTGAACGGAAACATAGCAAGCAAATAGTCACAATATTATATTGATCTCGATTTATAAACATAATATCAAGTAAACAAAAATCATTAACCCGACTTTCATGTTAACATCAGTTCAAAAACGCTTTTGAAATTGTTTCAATATTTTTATAGATGTGGTGATCTGAAATGGATATATGCGGCCCATGCAAGTTTAGAAATGAGGACAAAAAGGCAATTAAATATTGTTTGACATGTGAGGAATCACAATGCAATACATGTGCTGATATTCACGCAAGTAGTAAAGCTACCAGAAAACACCTTTTATTAGCAATTACCGACCTAAACAAAACATCAAAGACTACTGAAGACTTAGAAAAGTTTCAAAACTGCAATGACCATACCGACAAGAAAATTGAGTTTTTCTGCATAGATCATGAACATTTCTTGTGCAGTACTTGTTTACTGAATATAAGTGAGCTTAAATGTAAATCAATTGTTGATATTGAAACTGGGGGTGAACATCTCCTTACAACTAGATTCAACGAAAGAATATCAAAAGATTTAGACGATGTTACAAATTATTGTAGAGAACAAGAAAACGAAATCCAGCGCATGATTGAAAAAGGTCACCTGAACAAGCAAGAAATTCAAAAATATATAACTGACCTTAAACATAAAGTGATAAATCAGTTTGAAAAGTGTGAGAAGGATATACTAGACAAAGTCGATACAACTGTAGAGAAGCGTAATTCAGAGCTGAAAAGTCAACAAACCGTTCTTAAGGAGGCTCGCACAACGGCCTCAGGAAACAGAGATATGCTGCACAAAATTGTTGGTAATAACTCAAGTGCTGATATATTCCGATGCTCGTTCTCATTAATCGAACAGATGGAGAGGCTCCCGATTAACGAAGTTTCTATGACAACAGAAATTTGCAGTCATTCAGTTGAACTATCTCCTATTATGTACGCATTCACAAAGTCCGTTGACAGCCATCCTCTTATGTATTGCAAAACAACAACAAGCATGAGTACACAACAAATTTTTTTGAAAATTACAGAAGACAAAGGAAGCTTCCTCAAGACAACAAAACAAGTTGCTCTCAAAAGAGATCAAGAACTTTCCGATGATTATATGTGCTCTAGTTCCGACGTAGATGTAGAAGGTTCTAATGCAGATTCGAAAGACGTGCCTGCAAAAGATTTTAAAGTAAAGCCAATGGAAGGTTCAGATAAAACAGCTAAAGAAAACGTGCAATCAGATGGAAGTTTAGATAAGGAAAAAGATTCATGGCTTGTTCATATTTCAGATAACGTTGTAACAACACCTGATGGTAAACAACCGGAGATAACAGATATCGCCACATTAACAGATGGTTGTATTATCTTGTCTGACAGTAAATGGTCAAGACTGTTGCGCTTTACGACAGATCTTACTCATAAAGACACAGCAGAACTGTCGCATCCACCAGGAAAGTTGGCGGTTCTTAACGATCAATTTCTTGTGGTTTGCTTACCAACTGGAAACCGTATTGCATTTGTATCAGTATCCTCTGGATTTAAATGGATGAGAAACGTTAAAACCCTGCATTCTCCAAGAGGGATCCAAACTCTCGATAATAGCCATCTTCTTGTGTCAATGAAAGGTACTTCTTATAGAAAATGGCATCTGCATGTTATTACGACAGATGGTAAGTTGAAGCAGGACATCGGAAAAACAAGGTCTATTCAAGACGCTTTTATGGTTTCGGCTATCAAATCAACACATGCGTCTCCTAGATATTACCTCCAGTGTTGCACAATAACGGGCGCGCTCTATTGTTACTCTGTGGATGGAAAAGAGCTGTTTAAATATAGCGTCAGGTCTCCAAAATACTTATATGTTGAAAAATCAGGCAATATTTATCTACTAGATTCATTTGGCAAGCTTCATATACTAGACTCAGACGGAAAGCGTCTCCAAACCTGTGATGTTCCAAAAGAGGCAAATGGATTAACATGCAGCAATACAAAGAACAAGCTCTTTTTAACTAAACATTCATCACCGGTAATTAATGTTTTTCAGGTAGTGAATAGACAAAGCGTAGTCTAAACATGGGAGTTTGCGTGTGTGCGCGTCCGTGCGCGTGTGCGTTCCATGTTTAAAGGTGTATTTCCGATAACTTTAATTCTGAATGCAATAAAGAGTGTAGAGACATGAATACTACATGTAATACAAAAAAGAATTATTTACTGCTGCACTATGAAAATAAATAAAGCAAATTTATTTGAACATTTTGTTTGTTGAATGTATTCATAGTTTTGTATCTATTTCTTTAAACTTTCAATGAATGGACACATTTCACTTTACACAAACCAGTAAGTGTTTAGGCTCTTTTTTCTTGTTTCAATTAAAAGTACTATAGTATGGTATTTTTAGATTATTACGACAGATTTTCATGATACCAGGATAATATCTACACATGACCGACTCTTACTTCTTGTCTTTCAAATCAAATTGTATGTAAAGATATCGTATTAAATGCGGCATTCTATAGAATCCACTCAAACGTAATGAAAAGAAATGACAAGAGTTTTCAAACAAAGCGTTCAAATACATTTATGATTACAGGGAAGAAAAAGAATTTTGTTCTTGATTTGTTTGGTCAATTTCATACTGAAAGCTGATAAAACATATATAAATACTCCTCCTTAAACCCGTGCTTTGGGATGTGTATGGTAAAAAGACATTAAGCTCATTTTTTTCATTGATGAATATAATCAAAGCACAGAAGGCGCTGAATTTGTTTGGGTCTCAGAATGTCAGAAAGGTGAAGGTTGTGAGATTATAAACCAATTTGTTTTTGTATAGTGCCACCAATGCTTTCCAGCGTTTTAATTGTAGTAAATTGGCTAAAAGATTAATTGCAACACTGTTATTCAATTGAATGTTTATTTGACCTAAACAATTTGAAAAAAAATAATGAGTTGCATTAACTGGGATTTGAACTCCAGACATCTCGCATCCTAAGCGAGCGCGCAAACCCCTCGGCCACGGTGAAGTTATATCTTAACGGCCTGAAGAAAACCATATTATTCTAAATTAGGGTTTGTAACGACGCTAACGGTTGTTCAACACAGATGTAAATAATCATGGAGCTTACTATACTTAAGGACAATGAAAACGCACGGTCGGAATGATTGCGTTTTAACAAGGAAAATATATTTCCTGTTAGTATTTTTTCACAGTTTCATAAAACCGAATGCATTCCGGTCATTTAGATACCAAAGTTATGAAAAATGATTGCATTTTAATGAAGTTATTGCATGACAGTACCCGAAAAATCAAAAGTAACACTTTTGGCTAATTGTGATAAGATCACAACAGAAATCAAATTCATGGTTACTTTATGAAATGAAATTATTTATTTTTTAAACTGTTAATTATTAACTTGTTTTTCACACCTTTCTAGAAATGTTAGACACAAATGAGCAATTAAATTGTTTATGAAAATGAATATTAAACTATGCCAATGGTCAGTTTTAGAAATCGTAAAGCTCACATTGAAATTGCATATACACACTTTTCCTCTATAAAAGGTGCCTTATTTCAAACACTATTGAATACTTTTATCAAATTGTAATCAATGGTTCTACAAAGAATTAACCGCTGGGTAGATTAAGGAGAGATTCAGTCTGGTATATCTTACAATCAAATTTTGTATTATCAAAAGGCCAACCGTTTTGGTGTCCGTCGGTCTACAATTTCTCGGCTTCACCAGCGTTTTCGCACTACACTACAGGCTGAATGGCGTCAGATTTCACAGGCGACTATCCGCACCGTAAGGTCTTTGAGGCGACGATGTACATCTGTTAAGAGACGCTGATGGAGGATATTGTCGTTTCTAAAGACCCCGACGGTGACATTACGAATAGACATTTATGAGTGACATTGTTTTGGATTTTCATTTTTTGCCTTTGTTAAGTTTGCATTACTGTAATGAAAAAGTGTGATTTTGGGATTTTCACCTAAGGTTCTTCGATTTACTGGTGTACATTTGATTTTAAACATTTTGAATTATTTTCAGTTGTTAAGTTTGCGTTTTGCATTAAAGTTATGATATATATCTAATGGAGTCATAAGTGTTTTGTTTTCATGTAACAAAATGCATATAATGCGGGCGTGCGTTTTCATTGTCCTTAAGTATATAAGCATGTATATTTATAAAGAATAAAACAATATTAGAAATCTTCGACCATTCGGGAACTATTTTGCTTGAAAATTAATGCGCCTGTCATTTGACCATCTTTACGCAGTGATCTCTCCTGAATTTTTCGGCGTTAGTGTACATATAAAGGGAAGTAACCGCTTCAAAAAGCGGACTACTTTCGGCATTTGCAATTAACAGCATCAGAGTCTGAAATTTCGCTACCATTATTAGTTTGGTCTGACGACCCAAACAAATAAAAACTGTGTAAATTATATAAAGATTATCCCACTCTTCATTAAAATTGAAAGATAACGATACGTTCCGAACTATATATAAAGACATTTCTGTGTGTGACTTTGTTTATCATATTTGCAAGAAATATAAAATTAAACCATTTCTCATTGTATAGAACAATATTATTTAAGTCAGTCAATGAATTTAGTGTTTAACCTATCTTCTATCTGTTCCACACAATCATTGTCAAACAAAAATCAGTTGTTATTGTTGTTGTTGTTTTTATATTTCTCTCAGCAGATGTTAAATAAGGGATTTTGTCATTCAAACTACATCAAAAAATTGTCGCGCATAGTATCAACTTTATCAGATAAATGTTGAATTATATCTTTTGAATTTCACAAGTGACCATTAGTTTTTTACTTGAGCAAACATAGAATTAAACATAATTTGATATATATCGTAGTATAATTTTTGTCTGATACAAAAACTTAATAATGCTACTTTTATTGTACAATAATCGAAAATTCAAAATTTAAAATTTCAGGTGTAAACCTTATAACACCGCAATTTAATGAACAAATATGCAATGATGGCAATAGTTGATATGTTCATTATAAATTTGGTGGACGGAAAGTTACCATCTCTTTTACAGCTTTTCTTCGGTTAAATTAAACATATGCACCCATACGTGATTTAATTGAAGTGGATTGGTCAATAATGAAAGGTCTCTAATACCAGTTTACTACATGAAGCACAAACTACAGACGTACACTATACAAAGATGTTGATACGTGAAGAATACCTGATCCCACATTACATATCTATATACATGTATACCAGATCATTTTTTTTTTCAAGAACAAAATATTATTATACACCAAATAAATGCTCATAATTAATCACTTAATATACAGTATATAAGAATATATATTAAATGATACATTTAGTATTGTTTTTATTAACATTTGAATATTCTAATCGAAAATGTCTCCATTTCACGAATCCTCTTAAGGTTTTAATATTTGTTTTGTTTTACGTCACATCGACACAGTATATAGAGTATGAGCTAGAAATGGAAAAGGTTACCCCCTCTGGGTATATTATGGGACCCATGTAGTTTTAAAGATAAATGAAGACATTTGCAAGTTGTTGTCTGACTGAAACATTAACCATTAAGACACAAGCCAATGTGAATTATCTGCCCCTGTCACAATTTCTTAATAAACAGTATAATTGAAATAATCATTATTTTTTAACCAAATGAATTGTTATGTGGTCGATTTTTGTTTTAGTTCATAGACAAGGTCTCCTCTAAAATGATTTACTTCATAATTAATTGATGTTATTACTTTTGAAAATGGCCGCCAAATTCAAAATGGCCGCTATAAAAGGCAAAACATCACTTTATTATAAAAACTTTATAAAGTTATAAATATTATCGAAGTTTAATAGACTTTTTGTTGTTCAATTTGGTTTAATTATAATGCTATTAAGGAATATGAATGTTTTACAATATATCTTTTTAGTCACATATAAATTATTACTCAAAATCTTCTTCGAAAATGACATCAATATAAGTTTCCATCTCAATTTCCTCTAGATCACCTCCTTCATTTTAATCCTCTTCTAACACTTCACTAGCATTTTTATAAGCTATGATTTCAATTAATTCAAGTGGTAGTATATTTCCCTCTGTCCAGGTACAATGTATATGTTAGACCTCCGTTGTACCAGTATTCCACCCATATCTATCAGGACTTTGAATAGTTGGGAATTGACAAAAGGCATTTCACCACACAAATACTTGGTAATTTGATTTAAAAATATGCATCTTTAATGTGGAAAGATATGGTGGTATTGAACGTAAGTTAATAACATAGGTAATTGTAAGTATGTCTGCATTTGGTCTACACTTTTGCCTGAAAAAGTCAACGCGCAACTTATTTATGTCACTTTATTTGTCTTTCCTGTATAAAACGCAAACAAACTGTTCTAGAACTTTGAAATCTTCTTCTTGAATATCAACACTATTGCCCATTCTCTTGAAAACTGGTTATAAGTATATATTCAGGATATTTAAAAAAATGTTTACGGCTTTAATTTCCCCCTCATGGTTAAAAAGGGCTCGTGGTATCACATCCGGTGAAACTAAGTAGCCCAATCAATGCTTTGCAAAGATCTTCTCCTAGTCTATCAATGATTTTATTTACTTTCAACAGTCTTCTATTATTAGCCACAACAGTGTCAAATAGTATTAAACTGTTGATAGTCTGTGCTTACGTTAGAAGTAATACCATAACTTTAGTATCAGGAGATCGTACAATTATTGCTTTGTCATCATTTTTAGCCGCATGTTGCATATGTAGCATAATTCTGGTATCGGCATCCTCCTGAGATGTATGTAAATCTGGTATTACTTCTACTTTTCTTCCATCTTTACTTTGGCGGCATACACATGTCTCTTCACAAGCACAAGATTCTCCTTCCGTCCAATTTCCCTGCATATTTATCTTTAGATAATTCCTCTTATATCAATCTTATCAATTGTTTCTTATTTTTATTATTATAACAAAAAAAAAAACTTTCCAGTCTTGCAAACTTTGGTTTTGTTGCATTTTATCAGGTATGTATCACTCATTCCTCTTCATGACCTTTCTGCAGATTTGATAAATTCTGCTTTGTACGTATCTGTCACAAAGTCTGCACGCTCATATTTTGGTAAAATCTCAAAATCTTTTTCAGCGCGTCTTAAAGGGTTGCAGGGAGACAAGAAAGTGCTTGAAGATATATGTATACATGTATTATGTTTTTGTTACATGGCCTCTGTACATTGTATAATCGCCTTCGAGATCATGCATAAGTTTTGCCTTGGCAGTCTTTGTTGGTAAGATTATATGCAAAGAATAATTGTAGCATATTTTATTATGTTTATAGGTATAGGTCAAGATCATTTTCCTTCGTTGCTCTCATAAAACGAAGAACCAGCCAAATATTAACAATAAATCCATTTAAAACTGTGCCGTCTTTCCTAAGTGACCTTTTCGGGCGTCTTCTTTAAACTCTTGATACCTCTTGTAAAGTTCAATGACAGAATCATTAGCTAACACAATGTGTTCACGTCTTTGATACTCAGCTAGCACATTTAACGCTTGGCTGATATCTTTCAATGCACTAGAGTTGTGGATTTGGATAACTGCTGCCACAAATCTTCAAAAAGCAGTCTTTCGAGAGCTTCAACTGTGAACACATTAACACATTCACTCTTCTCTATCAGGATTTCTGAGAAACGACTTCCACGAAGCCGTTTGCCAATCGCCCCTAGGTATGAACGAAAAGCCCCTAAATGTATGATATTATCATTGTACTTAGTTGGATTTTCCATACTAAGGAATATGCCTTTTAGCAGCAGCCAAATCAAAGGTCACAAATGTGTACTGTTAGTGTACAGCTCTTGAAACACTTGTAATTTCTAGAATTTTCTGCACAGTGGCATTTTTGTACTTTGCGCAATTAAAATACATTGGTAGACATGTACTCTTCTGTAGAGGATGTTTGATCTTGCATCTCAGAGGTTAGAGAGATCCAGCCAGCCCAACTTGGAACAATCTGCTTGGTATATACACATGAACCAGAGAAAGTCAGATGAAACAGCAAAACCCGAAACATTTCCTTTGTCGAAAAGTATTGATAAACGGTTCTTATGTCTCAGTAATTAAGAGCATTCAGCCAATTCTTCAGGATTGCATTAAACAGTGCGTGCCTTAGACGCCTGTATATTTGATATATAATTGGATGTTTGTTCTCTTTTAGTGTCATCATCATTATCTTACGGCTGTTCTCTTTCTTGAATGACAATTTTATGTGCAGTATGGGTTATTATTTAGATGGATTAGATGGAAATGGTCCCAGCACAAATATGTTATCAAATTGCTTTTTGCAGAAATTGCATCAGGGAGAAGAATGTCCTGATCAAGAGTACTGTTACACAGTATCCAACTTCAAAATTTGACAGTATGACCGAAATGATTCACCAGTGTCTTATGCTGTTATATGCTGTGTTGCATTTCAATAAAGATTTAATCAATAAAATCACTCTAAAACAATTGATTTTAAGGGAGAAGCATACTATTATGTTGTCTCCCTTTTTTTCTATTTGCGCAATGAAAATAGGGGAAGTAACTTTATAATGTTTTTATAGGGGAGTAACAATGATAATGAAATGTAATACATTAATCTAAATTATTATTCTAATAATAATGAAAAACTACCAACTAAATAAAGATAAAGATAAAGAACAGTTTCCTTTGGTGGAACTCAACGAGCAGCCTTTCTGTCAAATAGTCATTGTGGTATTCGAGTAAGCTATACAATTCAATATAGGCATATGGATATACAGAAACAAAACGGAACGGAGAAGTCAACTACCAACTTTTCAAATTGTTTTTCATATAAGTGAGAGTATATTAAGTTTCTAGAGAGGACAAAAAGTCAATATTCGCATGAAATTCAATTAAAAGTATCTTATCGAACTCTCAGGGCAGCTCAAATCCACCCCAAACAATTATGGTTCATATCTTTATAAAATTGAAATAATATGCAAGAGCAGACTATTTAAAATTCTACCTAGCATAGAGTTAGTTTCACTAAGCATATCATATTTAATTAATGATTACATCAAACTATTTATAAATGGGTATAAACACATGTAATATTGTTATGAATTGTTTATCTGTTCAATAATTGGCGACCACCATTAATTATGTTAGTTTTTATGTTCAAACTTAAAACTTTTTGTATAAATCATAAAACATATATTTACAACTCAAAACAATGTTTAGATCACAAATTTACTCCGTCTTAGAGAAGATATCTGAAGAACTCTTATAAAACTTATATAGAAAAGAAATATGATTCAAGGGGAGATAATCAACTTGTTCTATTGGATTCATGGTAAATGTTTCAGCTAAACAACAAGTGCCAATCGATAGCACATACCCTAAGCTTCAATACTATATAGGTGTACAAAAATACACAAGGTGGGTAAGGGGGGTTATACTAGCCCAGCGTCTAATAGGTCATATCGCGACGTTCCAGCTTAGCTGGTGGAGGAGGACCTCAGGTGCCCTTCCGTGCATTATTTCAGGCACGAACGGGCACCTGAGTAGAACTATCGACGTTCCGTAAGCTAGCTGGATAGCTTCCTCACATGAAAGAATCCAAAGTCCCTGCCGGGATTCGAACCCACAGCGGTGAGGGGCAAGTGGTTTGAAGTCATAGACCTTAACCACTCGGCCACGGACGCCCCCAAGTTTTAAAATAGACCAAAATGAAAGCAAGATGTTCATGACAAAAAAAGTTGCGTTAAATTATTATTTGTGCAAGACATTGAATGCAAAACCTTGTTTTATGTAAATGTTTAGTGCAATAAAGGCAAGGCAAATGGACCATAGTATTCATCAATTTATTTAAGATATTTAAGTTCTTTTTAAAGCAAATTGAAAGATTTCGTTTCTTGATTTCCCATTCTGAAAAGGCATTATGAGAAATTCTATTATAAAACATAACTTAAAAGTTTTCATTTTTATGCTCTATTCATATCATAGAGATTTATTCAATAATCAAACAAAGCATACGTCAAAGTTAACCACAGAATGTTAACATGTCTCCTTGTAATTTAAAGAGCACCAAAACACGAGGCTATCTGATTTGTACGAGGGGGCGTAACCCCCGAGTATAAATCAGATTGCCGAGTGTTTTGGTGTTCTTTCTCTTTTGTATCATAGTCAAACATGACAGCACGTTCCCTGTTGTCATAATACGAAACCCCAGAAAAAATGAACCAATGAACGAGCATTTGAATATGACATTTCTGCCCCTTTCCCTTTCTCTGCCGTTACAATATGTAAACCCCAGCAAAAATGAACCAATCAACTGGCATTATCTGGAGTGCGGGTAACTGATACCTGCACTCCAGTTACCGCACTGTGCATGTATATGTATACGATTTAACTCTGACACTTTTTCAATAGAAAGGTCCCCAAACTATGATACAATTAACATTTGATAACCTCCTATACTCCTTTTCATTCGATGAAATGTTTATATACCTACAACTTCTCATGTTTGCTCTCTCGTCAGAAAACCTTGTTTTGTAATAGATATTTTCTACGACATTACTAAACAAAAGGATTTAAATACAGAATGTTTTTGTCTATACATAATCTTTTATTTCGCTTTAAGAGCCGCAATGTATTGTGCAGTTTAAATATGCATTTGGCGTACTTTGTAAACTAATAATATCGATAAAATTTAGTTTTGAATGGAGCTTTTTTACAAAATCTATAATAGGACATTTAGTACATATTAGTTGACATGTTATCATGAAATGTGATAACGTGTAAAAAGTTTTAAAAGTAGTATCAATTAATACGCTGAAATAATGAAGTGTCTTATTAGCGTTTACGTCAATATTTCGACCAACGTTCATATAATCAATGCGTATTAACATTAATGCGGAGCTAAAATAAAGTCAGTGAGAATTGAGTTGCTATGAATTAATAATAAATTGTTTGTTTAACATTAAAGGTTATGTATAAGTGATGACGTGTTATAAATTATTAAACATCACATGACTGATAAATGTCGAAATTTAATCAATCTTAATGCACAATTACAATTTTATAATATGTTATACAAGTAAAAGTTAATTTGTACCTAGAGGAATATTAACAAAGCAGGTACGATAATTTATCTTCCTAGCGTAAAAATACATTAACATTTTCTTATTTTGTTCTTCATATACAGTTTCATTGAGATTTAATGTTTCTTTTAGAAGTATATCTAAGTATTAAAAGCCTACAAAACATTGTAATTGATATATGTCTATCTGTTATGAAAATGAACGGAGACATAGCAAGAAAATGGACATATTATTATATTGATTTCGATTTATGAACATTGTAACAAGTAAACAAAAAACATTAACCCGGCTTTTATGTTAACATCAGTTTATCAAAAACGCTATTCAAATTATTTCAATCTTTTTAAAGACAATGGGATCTGAAATGGATATATGCGGCCCATGCAAGTTTAGAAATGAGGACAAAGGGGCAATTAAGTACTGTTTGACATGTGAGGAACCACAATGCAGTACATGTGCTGATATTCATGCAAGTAGTAAAGCTACGAGAAAACACCTTTTATTAGCAATTACCGACTTAAACAAAGCATCAAAGACAACTGAAGACTTAAAAAAGTTTCAAAACTGCAATGAACATACCGACAAGAAAATTGAGTTTTTCTGCTTAGACCATGAACATTTCTTGTGTAGTACTTGCTTACTGAACATAAGTGAGTTTAAATGTAAAACAATTGTTGATATTGAAACTGCGGGTGAGCATCTCCTGACTACTAAATTCAACGAAAGAATATCAAAAGATTTAGACGATGTATCAAATAATTGGAGAGAACAAGAAAACGAAATTCAGCGCATGATAGACAACGGTCATCTGAACAAGCAAGAAATTCAAAAATATATAACTGACCTTAAACATAAAGTGATCAGTCAATTTGAAAAGTGTGAGAAGGATATACTAGACAAAATTGATACAACTGTAGAGAAGCGTAATTCAGAGCTGAAAAATCAACAAACCGTTCTAAAGGAGGCACGCACAACGGCATCAGGAAACAGAGATATGCTGCACAAAATTGTTGGTAAAAACTCAAGTGCTGATATATTCCGATGCTCTTTTTCATTAATAGAACAGATGGAGAAGCTTCCGATCAACGACGTTTCTATGACAACCGAAATTTGCAGTCATTCAGTTGAACTATCTCCTATTATGTACGCATTCACAAAGTCCGTTGACAACCATGCTCTTATGTATTGCAAAACAACAACAAGCATGAGTACGCAACAAAAATCTTTGATGGTTACAGAAGACAGAGAAAGCTTCCTCAAGACAACTAAACAAGTTGCTCTCACTAGAGATCAAGAACTTTCCGATGATTATATGTGCTCTAGTTCCGATGCAGATGTAGAAGGTCCTTGTGCAAATTCAAAAGACGTAGCTGAAAAAGATTGTGAAGAAAAGCCAATGGAAGATTCAGATAGAATAGCTAAAGAAAATGTGCCATTAAATGAAGGTGTAGATAAAGAAAAAGATCTGTGGTTTGTTCATATTTCAGAAAATGTTGTAACAACACCTGATGGTAAACAACCGGAGATAACAGGTATTGTCTCATTAACAGACGGTTGCATTGTCTTGTCTGACAGTAAATGGTCAAGATTGTTGCGCTTGAAAATAAACTTAACATATAGAGACACAGCAAAAATGCCTTATCCACCAGGAAACATGACAGTGCTTAACGAACAATTTCTTGTGGTTTGCTTCCCAACTGGAAACCGTGTTGCATTCGTTTCCGTATCCACTGGCCTTAAATGGATGAGAAATTTTATAACTTCTCATACTCCAAGGGGTATTCATGCCATTGACAATAGCCGGCTTCTTCTTTCAATGAAAGATGATTCTGATGATAAATGGTATCTTCATATTGTTTCAACAGCTGGCGCGTTGACACGGGACATTGGGAAAACAAGGTCAATTCAAGATGCCTCTCTGATTTCGTCAATTAAATTAACGGTAGCGTCTCCGCGGTATTATCTTCAATGCTGCACTTTCTCAGATGCGCTCTATTGTTATGATGTCAACGGAAAAGAGTTGTTCAAATATAGAGTTGGGTCCCCGAAATACTTATATGTTGACATGTCGGAAAGGATTTTTGTTCTGGATTCGTTTGGTCAGCTACATATTCTTACAAATAACGGTAAGCTAATTCAAAGAGTAAATGTGCCAAAAGAAACGAATGGATTGACATGCAGCAAGACAACAGACAAACTTCTTGTAATCAAACATTCTGCGACCACAATCAGTGTTTATCAAAAGCAAAGCATTTAGTGTATGATCACACTAAAAAAGCGGCTCTGATTACCATAAAAAGAAAAGAAAACATAGTATTTACATTATCTTGCTCGAAAGTTAAAAATGGATCGATTGGCTGGTTATCATGATTTATACAGAGAATCTTTTCATAACAGTTTACAGATACAATACATTATTATATTATACATGTATGTTTTGTTTTGTTATGTCAGATAATATTTTTTTGTTAGAACTAAGGTTAATTTTCATGAAAGTTTATTGCCGGGTTGAACAGGTGCAAACCCGGGTTATAGTATGGTGAATGTCGGGCTTCAAGCGGGCCTGCAGGCGGACGGGCGGGTGGACGGACGGAGAAAAATTGTCATAACAGTTTTCTTAGCAACTTCTTATCACAGCCTCTAGTATTTGGTACATGGCATTGACACGTTGTCCCATACCATGGGATTTGAATTCCGGTCTGTCGCTCATCCACTCCCTGCATGTTTACCGACTTTAATAAATTTCGACATTAATGGTCAATGTTAGGACCTTTTCGTAACAGTTTTCTCAGCAAAAACTTATGACAGGCTCTTGATATTTGGTATACAGTATTAACATATGGTCCCATACCGTTGGATTCAGTTTCAGGTCTGTTGCTTATCCACTTCCTGTTTACCGACTTAGTCAAATTTTCGACATTAATGGTCAATGGTTAAAAAAATCGTAACATCACAGCCTCATGATATTTCTTATACAAATACAACCCGGCTTTTTCTTTCTTTGGCCCATTTTTTACGATTATTGATAGCTTAGACTGCTAATAAAATCAAAATGCATGAAAGACACAATACAAAATATTTTAAAAAGCTCTTATATATAAAGCTATGCAAGTATAAAATAATTTACATTTATATATTAAAGGTACTCCACTGAGGTTTTTTGACATGATGGGACTGGAAATAATGTTTTGAGATTATTACTCCATTTGATGTAGATCTATACCAATTACTTATGTGCAAAATTTCAGATCATTAGCTCGCTCCGTTTTTCCAGAATAATTAATATAATAGTGAAAAATGACCCAAAATTGAAAAGCGTTTACGCTTTTCGCTCAAATCGGACTGAAAATAGCACAAACATACGATTTTCAATATATTTCCAGTATATTTCTTAATTATATCTTATTTATATTTCTGTTTTAAGTGCTCATGTTTATCTATGTGAAATTTTTTTTTTTTTTTTTTTTTGTTTTTAGGCTTATAAACCTCAGTGGAGTTTCTTTAAAGAAATTTCGTATATATGTGTTTTTCTTGATATGCAATTTGAATGAATCTGACAAATGCATGTGTCTGTCGATTTGTTGTTTATATTTTTTTAATGTGTGTAATATATAGTTGTTGTTTTTATTACATTGTTTAATTCAAGGGCACATTGTATGTGTTTCTGAAAATGTGTTATCTTCATGCAATAATGTGTTTTTATTGTTGTTGTTATTATTAGTAGTATTTAGTATTAGTATTAGAAGTAGTAGTAGTTGTAGAAATAGTAGTAGAAGTAATAGTAGTAGTAGTAGTAGTAGTAGTAGTGGTAGTGGTAGTGGTAGTGGTGGTGGTGGTGGTGGTGGTGGTGGTAGTGGTTAGGTTAGTGGTAGTGGTAGTAATTGGTTGTAGTAGTGGTAGTGGTGGTGGTGGTAGTGGTAGTAATGGTAGTAGTAGTGGTAGTGGTAGTGGTGGTGGTGGTGGTGGTGGTAGTGGTAGTGGCAATAGCAGTTGTTGTTGTTGTAGCAGTTTTACTCAAAAGTTGTAAGGTCATTATTTCAAATATGTATGCAAATGAATGTATCAAATGGTAATAAAGTTATTGCTCGTTCATAGTCTGCTTTTTCGAAAACTTTTCATTTTCCTCAGAAAGCGTTCATGGAAAATCTAAGTATAATTCTTGTACGATATGCCTATGCATTGTTATGAGCATGATATTGATGATAAAACTGCTGTTTTCTGTGATATGATGTCCTAAAAAAAATATTTCTATTTCTCTCTCATTGAACATTATGGTAAGTAATTTATTTAAATATGGTTCAGTGTATCTCAAATCTATAATTACTTTGTTAGCTTTTCATGATTGTTCAAGGTAACAAGCCTTTTTAACTGTCAAACCGAGTTTAAAACTATTCTTCTAAGCTACTCTTGGTTCAGTTTTTAACAATATAAGACTGTTTTGCCTTTTAAAGATAGTTGGTGTGAGCATTCACTGTTATGATTATCCGACTTTAGTAAAATTTGCTAGGCTTAATTTAGGAGATTATAAAATGTCACCATATCTAAAAGTAAGAATCTTTAACCCTTTACCTCATATATACGCAAAACAACGCACTTTTGACCCCCCCCCCTCTTTTAGGCCTCAAATTGTGAAAAATTGTCCTATTTGGACCCCAAACACATGTTTTCGTTTGAGAAATGTTGCTAAAAAATGTGAGCACTTTTTCGGCGCCGCCCCTATCCAAAAGATACAGGGGTTTGAAGGGGGCGGTAGTCCCCTACATCGCCAAGAAAATTTTGGACTTGTTAGAGGCTTAAAATGACCCAAGGTCGATCAACCAACGCAGAAAAGCCTTTGACTCTATCTCAATCCCTTGAAAAGTTACAGCACTTTGAAATAAATTTTGATGGAAAAAATCAAGGCAAAATAGTGATTATAGGCAATTTTGAGATGTCCCCTCGTTGCCATGGTAACAGGAAAATTAAGACTAAGCATGTCGTTACAAAGGCAATGGTCAAGTCAACATTTGTGCCAAGTCTGATAAGTATTGAAGCATTTTTCATAGTTTTATAGCAGTTTGAACTTGTAACAGCAGGCTTTTCAATGAAAACGGCTATTTTTCACAATATGCTCGTGAGGGAAAGGGTATATATATCCTAACAAAATAGAACATGACTGCGAGATTTGTGTTGCATATTTCTTAACAAAATATCGAAATAAAAGATGTTACAGTAGTATTTTAAACTAGTACAAAATTTCATCGAGATAACGAAATATCGAGAAAAGCGATGTCGAGATAACAAAATATCGAGAAAAGCGATGTCGAGATAGTGAAATATCGAGAAAAGCGATTTCAAGATAAAGAAGTATCGAAAGTTTAGCGATGTCGAGAAAACGATAGATGACTGTATAAATTTATATTTAAAGCTTGATACTCAATCCGTACAATCAATTATTTTTGACTTATCATATATGTTATTCATTAATAAAATGATCCGATATGAATTGCAAGTTTATCATTTGGGTTTGGGTGTGGCCATGTAAGGAGATTAGGGATGACAAAAGTAAAAGTTCAAATCAGGAGCTTAATTTAAGTGCATTTCAAAACTGTTAAAACCATCATTATCAAAAGATAGTCGAATTATTAATAATACGTACTATATTGCTTGTAATTTCAATTTTTTGAAAAGGCGTTTTATGTTTATATTTTGTTTGCATTGTGAAAATTTGTCCAAGTATACAGTAAACAATGCCGGGATTTTCAGCAAATTGTCAGTCATAAAGTGTAACATAAATCACGTTATTGAAAATACCATGTCTTATTATCATTATGTTGTTGTTGTTGTTGTTACTTTCAATGAAGCACTTAGCATTGTATTTTTTAAACAATAACCCATGTACTTGAATGAATATCCGGAGTATTATAAAATAATGCTATAAACGAAACTTGTAAAAAAGTCTCATGATCAAAAGCATGTTTTTCTTCCGTGTTTGAATATATATATCAATCCAAGAAGATAATAAAACAAAACTGCAAACATTGTTCGTCCTCTTTTTAAAACAAACTGCTATCAAGAATCGTCGGTGCTGATTATCCGGATTAAAACTGTTATTGTAGTAGGAAAAAATGGCGAAATTTACAATTTTGTTTTCATTTCTGGCGATTGTACTGGCAATTTTTATGCTGTGTGGTAAGTAACTAATGCAATGATCTATGATTATTATTTTAATGAAAACCTGTCAAAACTTTTGAAGACATACAAAGGCATTCGATGATTATTCAGCAATGGTTGAAGTACGAGGCTGATTGGGCTATTAGATTAAACTGTTAACTGATGGTACGTTAATAAAGATATTGCACTGGAACTGTTAAAATTTGAATATTCCTTGCAGCAACATTCGTCATTTCATGTTTTACACTTGGAAGCAAAGATGGTGATTTCAATTATCTATTCTTCATGTTTTTATTTCTCTTCTCATTAATTGAACTTTAACCCCGATCACAAAGCTTATTTCAATAATCCATTAAGAGTTTGAACTTTATAACTTTTCTTACTAACACTAAAACAACAGACTTTCTAGACAAAAAGTACGATATATTTTGTATATATTATGTTCATTCTAAATGCTAGAGGACACTTTAACAGTAACAAGCTCTTCTTCTCGTTCTTTTACTAAACGGCGGACAAAAATTCTGAATTGGCCTCCAACCATAATCCTCGAAAAATAAAATGATAATGTTCAGACCAACGCCAGGGAAGAGTACATTGTAATATGTCGTTAAAGATAAATTATTCTTTTTATACATGGCAGGATTAACATCAGCAAACAACTCTACGTCCACTCCACCGGCCAAGACAACACATCATCATTCGTCTGCTTCGGCTTTGCTCACAGCGGGTAAATAATGAAACAATTTCTGGCGTTTAGGAAATGAATGTGTCATTTTTCATGTACATATGATATGTACAATATAACATGCGTCTGTAAGACTAGGAGCACCTCAACATCTTGTCGCCTGGGCGCTTTTTAATACGTGTAGTAGAATTTCAAAAAGAAAGCTTCATCAGCCTCAACATGGCGTCTTAGCATAGAGTTGATTAGTTTTATATACATGTAGTTCGAAAAACTTATTCTTGTACTGTTTTTTTCATGTGACATTTAATTTTCAGTTTGAGACAACCGTCAGATGTACTGATTTTTTCATCATATTTTTTTTCTAATTTAATACTTCTTTATTAAATGTTTGTTTCACTGGTTTAATTTGAACCATGCTTACAAGTACTTAAAATTTAGAATTATAGTCGGGCTTAAATTTGTATTATAGTTCATTATATTACGTTGATCACATGCATTTTTTCTTTTATTCTTTCAGTTCCATTGCTAATAATTGGAGTGTTTTCGGCTCTGAAACTGAGATTTTGATTCATCATGGCATGGACACCTAGAATAAATTAAGCATTAAAGGAACATTATACCTCAGAAATTAACACATTTTTATTTCTTTAGAAATGGTTGGGATGAATTTTATCCCGTTTGAAAAATAGTTTTATAGAGAATATTATATATGCTTGTTACCTGGAGATATTAGTGCAAAATGTGACATAATTCGTCATGAAAAGTAGTAAAATGTAAACAAATTAATAGTTTGACTTCCAAACAAAATGCTTGCTCACTGTAAATGTACTTATTGCCAAAGAGTAACAGAAGAAAAGAGACCCAGGTAATTGACAAATGAGTAAACGTTTTTGTGAAATAAAATAAGTATTTTCTGGGGCGTAATGGGTTTTTAAAGCAGAGACATATATAGGCTTATGCTTTTTTACATAATGTATATTTCTGCCATATGTATATTTCTAAACTACATGTAGTATACTGATTTACAGTCAACTCCTATGACGATTTTATATTCAAATATCTCTAAATCTATATTCTGATTTTTTTTTTAAAAATCAGTCGCCGAATTTGTGACTTGAAATCTTGATCGTTCCGGGTTTATTCTTTTTTTTTGAAATTTTGTCATCCGTGACAATTATGGTCGTTTATTTAAGAATAATCGATCTTTGTCATCCGTGACATGGATGGTCGTTTACATAAGTATAATTGATCTACATGCATTTAAAGCATACAATCATAAATGATATTACTATATTAGAAAGAGATTGTGCTATGTGTTTAACTATGAAATTTTGGATAAACCACTGGAAGTTATGAAGGATTTCTTTTTTGTTCACAATTCGCTTTTTATTTCCTTTTTACTTTTTAAGTTGATTCTTTTAAAATACCATGTTCATATTTTGAATAAAAAAGAACAAATTTTGTGTTAAATTTATTTTTATTTTATAATTATTATCTAAAATATTGTGTATAATGCATGACATAAAAGATAATGCCAGTACAAATGTAACTAATAAAATAAACACAATACCACAAATGCCTTTTAAGTTGTTTTTTTCTCGTTATCCAGATGTCTTCCTCAATCAGTGAAACACGTGCAAGTTCTACTTAAAGGAGCCCCAAGGTCAATGAGCCTTAAAACAAAACATTTCAAGTTCTTACATAGATCAAGTGAAGCAGTAAAAATGGAAAAAAATAACATTAACAATTTAGCCTCGTTTTCATTTCTGAGTCAAAAAACCTTTGATCAAATGCATATCGTATTCAATACAGTCTCAATCTTTATTTTTCCAATTCATATCAAATCCTTATTATAGTTGAAGTACCACAGTTCTGTCAAAATGTCAGAATTGCCTCGTCTTATATAGATTTGACAGCTGTTTGTTCGCCCAATAGAATTCATTATTGTACTCACCAATGTATAATAACCTCATAACATTGCATTAACATTCCAATATAGACACACTCGGCCAACTGTATGGAGTATACGGTTTACAGTAATCATCCAGTGCCTGATTTACTTTGTTCATTATAGAATGACTTTCATTGACATTAAGTAACCAATATCTGCTACGCATTATTCGTAATTACCCACAAATATAATTAAATAACCAATGTCTGCTACGCATTATTCGTTATTACCCACAAATATAATTAAATAACCAATATCTGCTACGCATTATTCGTAATTGTCCACAAATATAATTAAATAACCAATGTCTGCTACGCATTATTCGTAATTACCCACATATATAATTAAATAACCAATATCTGCTACGCATTATTCGTAATTACCCACAGATATAATTAAATAACCAATATCTGCTACGCATTATTCGTAATTACCCACAGATATAATTAAATAACCAATGTCTGCTACGCATTATTCGTAATTACCCACATATATAACCCAGATATAGCTTTCATTAGGTATTTTATTTCTGAAAAAAAAGGCCGAAGGCCCTTTTGACCATGTAAAACCCAATAGCAAGGCCATTATGAAAACACTTAATTATTGACAATTTTATTAATTAACTAAACATAATCTAAAATGTTAAGTACTTTGTGAAAAAAAAATGTAAAAGTCCGTTGTTTGAGGTATTGCAAATGGGATTTTGGAAAAATGTCTCGGAAACCTACTACCTAATGACGACTTTTTTCAATGAAAAAAAAAAACAAACAAAAAACAGATTCATAATGGCCGAGCTGGAGAGCCAATCAAATTCTCCAATCCCATAGTAGCCGAGTTTTCACATAAAGGCTGTACTTTTTGCATATTAATGCCTTTTTTATATTCATAATGTCATGGTGAACTTCATATAAGCCTTACATTTGCAGTGACAACGTGCCTTATATTGAAAAGTTAATTAATAATGTGTTGTAAATGTAGCATAATGTTAACAAAGTACTATTTTGACTTCCATTCAAAATACCAGTTCACTAAATTTACCATTTGCAAACAGAGCAAAACATGCAAGATAAGATATATTTTATGTATATTACAAAAGAATACTTTTTTGAAACTGTGACAAAATTCCAAAGATTGAAGTTTTGGGAAACAAAAATTATAGCATTGCTAATGCATAATGGGAATTTAAAACTCCGCCTTTACCAGTTGCCATATTAGGCAATGTTACTATATACGATTATAAATTGTAGCGGGAAGTAACTCAAGCCAATGAAAATGTAGGTTATTTACACAGAGTAGGCGAGGTAAGAAAAAAAAGCATTCTTAAACGGCCATCTATGGCTGATTTGGTACGCTTTTGTGTTGTCGCAATGTTGTCTTTTCGCCCTGTCTCTAGCGCGGCACGCCAAACGGCGCGTTGTCGTGCGGCGTGTTGTCGCGATGTCACATTGTCGCTCGGTTCAAATCGATGGTTTGGCTTATAAGCCAAGCCGCAGGGCGACATCGCATCGCACGACAACGCGCCGTTTGGCATGCCGCGCTAGAGACAAGACGACAGCGCGACAATGCGCCGTTTGGCGTTTTGTCGTGTTGTCGCTAGCGCCAACTAGACGCACAAAAAACGTACCAAATCAGCCACCATAGCGGCCATCGAAGTATGATGAGTCAACTTATATTTGAATTCGGGATCTATTATAATAATTATAAATGATTGCGTATGTATGTTCATGTATGTACTGTTCTACTGGTGTAATACAATAATTACAATATAAAGTGTTTGCGGAAATAAACAATCAGACGATGTTCATGTATTTATTAAGTAAACAAAATGACATATTCAAATGACACATACACTACGCTTCAACATTCTTGTTACATGTATATAAATGAAGATTTGCACAAAACTGTAATTTGTATGGATGTTGTAATAATGTACAGGCATAACGATTAGACTGGCATAAGAAAAAAACCCTAAAGAATCTACATAATTAAAATATATAAAAAGATGGTAGACCTAGCTTCATAAATGACGATCCATAACACCATATTGACAAGATAAATGTTAAAAATATATTAATTTATTCATACCTGATGATAAGGAACATATATTTGAAGTTTGTAGTTGATAACCTAAGAAATAAAGAAGAGTAAAATAATACTTTTTATTGAAAATTTTAAGTTCAAGGGGACATAACTTTAAAAAAAATTCATCGAAAGTTATAAACCTTGTCACATAAGAATGGTTGGTGATAAGGAACATATATTTGAAGTTTGAAATTGATAACTTAAGAAAAACAAAAGTTACAGTTCAAAATATTTTACTGCACAAAAACTTGAACAAGCGGACGCATCTACCGGGGTGAATATACTTTGCATAGTCTAGCAAAAAATAATACAAACATGTAAAGGATGCACAAAACATGACACCTTTTTCTGGCAGGATATCAAGTCTCACAAGGAAGAGTATGGAATAATTTACAAGCATATTATTTTTGCATGACAACAAATTTATACTCAACAAAAAAAAGAAACATCTCTTTAATTTTATATTTATGCAAGTATCTTTTCACATGGATGAAAATGGTTTACATGGTTGAAAATGGTCATAACACAATAAATCAAATTACTATTGAATAAAATATCAGATCACCAATTTTTAGTAATAATTCTAACCATATTGGGTTTTTCCATGCAATTTTCCTTAATAAAAACAAAAATGTCAAACTTGCCTTCTTACTAAGAGAAACAAGGGTGTTTCCTTTTCTGCTGAGTATGTACAGAACAAATGAGTGGATAGACCTAGGTATTGAAAACACTGGATTTTGCTGAGTCATAGCAAATGCATTTTATACAGTAAGTTCCATCACTAACAGCTACTGTAAGAGCTTGTTTATCTGAACCGTCATTCCCTTTGTACTTTAGTACCTCATTTGCGCGTTTAACAACTGTAACTCTGACTGGTTTGCTATATGGACCTGTGCCATTATTCTCAAACAATGACTTCAGTGTTGCCATCTGAAATTAAAGTAATGATCAGTCAAGGCCAAAAATCATTCAGTTCTAAATAATATTATCTCATAAGTGAAATGCAATTTCTTTACCAAATTTCACAAATGGTGAACATAAATGAAAATTATATCGGAACTGAAATATATTTTTTTGATACCGGAGTAAAACATCCAGTGTTTGAAGTGTTTTGAAGAGAGAATAGTATTTTTTTTTTTTGCATTGAAGTAATGTACTTTCGACTGATCAACTCCCTTTAATACTTTTTTTAGCCTCTATATATGCATTTTTGTAAGTCTTTGCGTTTCTTTATTTGTGTAAGTCTTTGTGTTTATTTAAGTGAAACGGTGACAGGATAATTTTCTTTAAATGTTGTATGCACCACTTCTTAATGCAAAATCTAGTAGGAAAATGATTTTACTATTGAATTCATATTTATTAAATTCAATATATTAATTATATTAATTATGACAGAACTATCATCTGCTCCAGAGAAAATGCATAAGCATATCTCTGTAAAAACAAGTGAAACCAATGGCAATATGATAATTGATTATTTCAAGATATAAATGATCTGCAACAGTGTTATACTCTTTGTGTCCTCTAACGAACTCTCATAGGACAGGACTTAACTCATTACAGGACTGGGGCAGTACCTCCAGTCTCTTGCAAAAATCATGATCACAAAATAGAAAAATATCATTTTTCGCCAATTATTACATTTTTCCTGTATACCATGGCAAGTTTTGGACCTATTTTGTCCTGGTTAGATAGCTAACAGAGATGTGTTTAAAAAGGTAGTTAAGCGCCCCCAAATTAGTCTCAATATTTCGACTGCAAGACAGACCGTTTTTATAATCTGATATTTCTTAGATGTCTGTCTGGAACTGATCAAAATTTCATTTTTTTCACTGCAACATGAAAATTTTCACACTGGCATGTACATTTGTTGTTATTAACCATACATTGTCCTTAAAAGAATCATAAAATGACAAAAAATAACTTAAATTAACTAAAAAACTTTAAAATGGTACCTGTCGCTGAATGTAAACAGCGATCGTGATAACCAATGAAAACGTTTGTTTTCATTTAAACATAATTATTAGTACACCCGAGGAGGCTGCACGCGGTAAACACATACAAAAGCGCTATATATCGTAAACTTTTTTAAAGGTGTTGTAAATATTTTGAGTTCATTTAAATTTAGAAACCACTTGTGATGAATATATTCTTCAAAATTATATTCTCGTACCCTTGTCGCCGACAAAATCACATAGTTTAAACAGCGAAAACCCGAAAGATCCCTCCGATAAAATTATAACAGTCCTTACATTTTCATTCCACATAAATGATAAGTATTATCAACATAAAAATATCTTTAAATAAACAAATAACAGACAGATTCTATGAATGGTGCCTAATAGAACGACTTGTTTACAAAATAAGTTAACTACGCGCTCTCTTTTTTTTTATCCCGATAGAAACATTTAAATATTTGTAAAAGAAAATTAAAGCATGGTCCAAAGTACCTAGTATTCGTTTACCCGGTTGTGATCTAATTCAAGATATTTTGTAATCATATTGAATAGAAAAAAAAACAAATTAAAAACATATCGCCATCAAAGTGTGCTTTTTCCCCCATTCCTTCCGGTACAACTAGAATTAAAGAAGCCAATAGTTTAATGAAAGAAAGTCATGCAGATCATTTTGTCCACAGCGGTCAAATTTTGTCCAGAGCCGGGAAATAATTATTTCACGCGGAGAAAGACGTACAGAAATGAATGACCCCTTGCTTTGTATTTGAATAGTTTTTAAGTTAAGTCAATTCTAGCGCAACGTATCGTAAGTTGATAGTCCATCTGTGATAAAAGTAATGAAATTCAAATCTTGGATACATTAAATGAAAGAGAAATTTAAAGAATAATTTACTAGTTGTTTTTTTTTTTTTTTGTAAATATTAAAAACACATGTATACAACATGACTTACAGTCGAGGATCGTAGCGTATCGTTTAGGGCATGGCTTTAGTCGTGCTTTAAATTATCAACAGAATTTACGAAAATCTTTATAATTTTAAAGTGATATTTGCCTGTGAAGTGATCGATGTTTATAATATCTTTCTTCCAGTCTAATTTATTTAAATAAATGAAATTGAAAAATTACAAATAAAAAAATCGCCTAAAAAATCGTATTTTACAAAGATAAGGAAAGAAAATGTAAAATTTCTCCGCATAATCTTCGTTTACAACAAAAACTCGGAAAAAACTCCGCTATTTATAACACAGTTCATAGAACTTATACTTTGGTTTTCTTACATATATGCGGAAATGATCAGACGTAAATGATTTAGGGGATATTCCTACGTTATCGCGTGAAAGAGTGGATGAAATTAGCGATCGCGTTACTGAAAAAAATGTATTTCTAAATCACGTTTTCTTGATATAAGGAAACGATCTTCTAATTTTCAAATGTTTATTATTATCTTTAAATAATATTGATAAAAGGAAAAACGTGTATCTTTGCCGGAGATCTTTTATTTGTAGGGTTGTTTTGTCTTGTTGTTGTTGTTGTCTTTTTTCTGAATTACAGAATTGAGTAGCCCCATTCATTATGTTGGTACTTTTTACGAAGTGACGCAGATTTAACAAATACATGTAACTAACGAACTTTCTAAGAAATATGTATACATTCTCGTCAGTTTTAATATAATAATTATATACATATTGCAAAATGACAGTATCAACGCCCAGGACGTGTGTATTAATCTATACTAAACGTTTTAGTTATTGCCTGGATACCCTAGCTAATTTATTCACTATATAAAGGACTAAATAAAACATTTGCAGACGAAACAACCACAAAATCCAGTTAACAACGGAATTCCCGCAGTACATGCTGAAGGCTGGTAGAGATTTAGCAATGTAAAACAAAAAAACGTTGACAGAGTAGGAATTTGTAAGCGTTGTGCATTAAAACATACAACTTTGTGATCAATTTTCTCTTAAATTGATTCTATTTGAATAAGCTTTGCAGGTATGTAATTTTTTTCAAGAAATGTTGAGTTTAAATAAATATTTGAAGCCGTCAAAGTTAGCGACGAGATTCTGGTCGCTGGCACATACACACAGAAGGAAAACTTTCCGCATTGTTTTTAATCGTAAGTGGGTTTTGCGCGAAGGGCGACCATCCTCTATATAAAAAAGGCCCTAAAGCGCACAATTTGTTGGGCTACCCCCAAATATGACAATTAGATCTATTTCGCATGGTTTTTATCGTGCAGTAATTTTCTTGATTATGTGATTTCAGGATTTTTGTAAGATACCTTAACTCTTTAGATATACTTTGAAATAGACTATAAATCACGTGGGATGTTGAGAAGATATGACCCAAAGACAATACGGCCCTAAGACAATACGGTCTGCAAAGTTTTGGACTTCACAATAGGTATCATTGGGGTACTATGACTAATTCTTCTTTTTAAGAGTATGATTCATTCAGATATGTTATACTTCCGATCCTTAAAGATCGTTCAGCACGACATTATTGTTGTGTTTGTGGTATTTTAGTTTCTAATTTTCGGCCATTTTAATGGGTGGTTCCAATATTCCTACTTGAATAATGTTGAATCACCCTTGGGATATGCTGCCTGCTTTTTAACTTTGTCTCTGTGATATACAGGCTTCATAACCCCTGATCCCCTTTCAAAATTATCATCGCTATTTTTGCTATAGTGCGTTTTTTTTTTGTTGTTGTTTTTTTGCCATGACTCATTTACTTTTTGTCATTGTATCATAGCTAATATTTGCTATGGTACATTCGCTCTTCGCCATGGTATATTCGCATTTTCTATGGTACCATTGCGTTTTTATCGCTTTTTGCAGTGGTACATTCAATTTTTGCCATGATATCATTGCCGTTTGTTATGGTACATTCTTCGCATTTTTTGCCATCGTACCATTGCTTTATGCTTTTAAAATTGCCATAATACGTTCTATTCTTTGCCATCGTATAATCGTTTTTTCTTATTGTACATTCGCATTTGGACATAGTACGCTACCATATTGCTTTGAAAATTTTCCATCGTGTATGCACTTTTTCGTCATAGCACATTCGCATTTTGGCCGGCCATGGTGCATTCGCGTGTGTTTGTTTATTTGTTTTTCTTTACTGTTCAAGTAAATAAAACATGTATTTATTTCGCTAAAATATGCAGCGTAAAAAATAGACGTTTGTTTTATATAACGTACGACTATTATGAAATAAGCGTTTTTGTATTTTCTGATCGAAGATCAGTAAAAACAAAGCGGACATTCAATCTCTGACACAGAAGTTTCACGACAAACCTAACAACATGTAGTTCTCAAAACATCTTAAAACTAGCGACGTTAAAGAAAGAAATATTTTTATTTTGTTACAAGTATCCAACAAATTACAACGCATTCAAAGTTTATCAGTAGCGTTGGCTTATAGAATTGTCAATCAATGCACAATCACAAATTACGCGGATGAATATGATTTTAATCAATGAAAATGCTTTTTAGCGATGTCGATTACCGAATACTACACAAATAAATCTGACTGCCGATTAGTGGAATATATAGATTCTACATGTCGGACTGGGCGAGAAGATTTTCGCTAAATTATTTACTTCAATTTTAAACAACAGGTTTATCCTGAACAAAATACCTCGAAATTAATAAGGATTACAAACCCGAAATGCAATGGAAGTTCTAAATTTAGAATGACTTGATTTTATTCAGGCATTGTTTGTATAACTTTTCCGTGGTGCAGGGGTAACGCGCTCGTTTCGTGTGTGAGAGGTCCATCGTGTATTCACTTTTTCAAATCCCAGGCAACTTTTTTAAAATTCTTTTTTAAGTGTCTTTGTTAAAGAAGTAATCATGATATGCAAGGATAAAGTGTGGCTATCATAAAAAATGAACATAAATGATTTTTTGATGCAACTCTAGTTATGCAAAATTCCGTATGTATCAAACTCTGGTGCCTTGCAAGACATAAAAATAAACTAATACATACAGATATACAGTACGATTTAGATTACAAAGATCAGAAAACACCACAGAGCTTGCAGCCCTTTGATAATATTTTGCTTTGTTTGTCTGTCTTATTGTTTGTCTGTTTGTTAGATTTGTTGCTTTTGACTAGATTCGTTTGTTAGTTTGATTTTATTTGTTCGTTCGTTTATTTGTTTTAAAAAGGACTGTCTCTCTTTGACTGATTGAATTAATTAATAAATTAATTCATCACATGTATATGACTTAAATACTGCGGAAAAATATTATTCACCGATATTAAATACAATACCGCATACATGTATTTTCCATTTCCTCAAGAATTATTTTAAGTATCATATAATTGATTCGCCTTAAGTTTTTAAATTATGTTCTCTTACTCATATCTAAATTTCCCAACAACATAAACAATACACTTTTCCTAGTTCTATTTTAAGAAAAGACGATGAGTTCAGCGACATTTTTCACCGCCCCTCGTGTGTCACTCGTTTCGTCCAGTACATTATTATACGTTTTCACTTCTAGTTTCAAGGTTCGCAGTGTGGTCGGAAGGATTGATTTACAGCTAAAGAAATGGCGTCTTCTAAAATAACGTTAGTACAGGCTTTGATTTGTGCGCTTTGTTGCCTACTTCTGTCACGTAAGTAATTTATTATTTTTTTTTTTATTATTATCATCATCATTATTATTATTATTATTATTACTATTATAAATATTATTATTATTATTGTCATAATTGTTATAATTATTATTACATGTATTATTTATTTATTTATTTATTTTTATTTATTTATTTATTTATTTTCATTTATTTATTTATTTACTTATATTTATCATGTGCATGCATATTTTGTATCATTTTTAAATAGTTTGATTACTTCCCATTACTTCCCATTGTCTCTTCGATTTTAAATCTTTTTCATGCATTTAAAGTATTAAAATCTAGAATACTAAAAAACAAGGGTCCGGTATCTGTAAACATGTCGAAAGGAGAAAAGTTATATTGTCAACATTTATGCATCAACATCAATTGTCGATTCTTCGTTACGCGTGTCTATAAATTATTCCAGCTGTTTTAGTAGCAAATAACATGAAACATAAAATAGGGATTCATAAAACATTGTTAGAACCTTTTAAAAACACATTCAAATATCACAACAAAAGGTTAAAGGGACTCCGTTGATATCACAAGAAGGTACTGGTTTTTTTCTTTTGGTTTTTTTGGGGAGGGGTGGGGGGTCAAGACTAATATACCATTTGATGTAATTCTGGAGTAAAAACTTGTGTGCAAAATTGCTTCAAAACGTTTTCCCCGAAAAGTTATTTTTATAAAAAGAAAAAGAAATGGACTTAACAACTTTCAAGGAAAATAACTCTGAGTATATTTTTTATGATTTTAGATTTTATGTTTTTAGGCTTCTTAACATTAGTGGAGCCCCTTTAACGCGCGACGTAAGGTCCATGTGCTATTTAAAGTTGCCTAAAAATTATCCAAAAAAACATCAACAAAACAATAGAGATAATTAGAACAAAGGAACAATGTATGTCTTTGTTTTAGTTAGATTTTGTATATTTGCTCCGTTGGGTTTTAATGCCTTTCGGCGGTCAGTCGGTCTAACTGGATTTCCTGGATAACTACATGTAACAAGTAATGACCAAATAACGGAATACTAAACCCACATGAGATGAGAGACAAATAAGCCGCGTAACGACAAAACCAACATTGTGCGTTTGCGACCAGCATGGATCCAGATCAGCCTACGCATCCGCGCAGTCTGATCAGGATCCATGCTGTTCGCTTACCAACTCTATGACAAGTAGAGAAACTGAAAGCGAACAGCATGGATCCTGATCAGACTGTGCGGATGTGCATGCTTGTCTGGTTCCATGCTGGTCGCAAACCCACTATGTTGGTTTTGTCGTGACGCGGCTAAAATGAACATTGGACTCGATGTATGAGATTAACTGTCACGGGGAAATTTAAACGCCTCGCCTGATGATTGAACCAACGAGGCAGCAACCTCTGGATTACAAATCCGGTGCTCTCCCTACTGAGCTTAGTGGGCAGGCTGTTATTAGTTTCACATCTGTTTGTTGATTAAAATCAGATGTACAAATAAGTTTTTCCTACTTCCCTGTAAGTAATCGAGGATAATGTAAAATATCTCACTTAAACAGATGTACCGAAAATGACGTCATCAGAATATTTTACTACATAATTTATACAATGAAGTGTTATGTATAGAACAGGAACAATTTTCTATATTCCCCATAGTGCGATATGACACATATCCAGTCATATATATTTAAGAATATTTAAAGCATGTAAAGCTCAATAGGTAAAGTGTCGGACTGTGAATCGTGCGGCCGGGTTCGATTCCAGTACGGTGCAGGCCACTTTCGTTGTGTTTGATCATGAAATCATTTATACGGTCATTCGCACTGTACCTCTGCTCTGGCATGGAACATTACTAGTACTGGTAAACTGCTTGACACATGCAGTGACTGAACTGTGCTCTGGTAAATTCAATTTGGCTTACTGTGGTGTGATCTGGAGGTTAAAGTACCAACTCCACCACCAGTAAATCATAAATTTAAATTAGTCACTAGTTACAAAATATGTTATTAATATCATCTCCTCAATAACAAGATGATCTGAACATGCGCAAGCTCGAAGGCAGACTAGCTCTTTGGTTATTCATTTATTTTGAACTCTTGAAAGCCATAATTAACCTTGAATTGTCACTTTCCTATTAATTAAAATAGTGGCCCCATATTTCTTATCCATAGTCTTGGACATTGTCTTTCTTTAGAATTGTATAGCAATTGAAAGTTGTCATAAGTTAGAAATATACATGTATAAAAAATATTATGTTAATGCGCAGCTGACGGAAATTTTCATCGCTTTCAACTTTATGCATATAATACAATTACTTGTAATTGTCACATGTTGTCTACTCAAGACCGCTTTCCTTACTATCTTCAAGGACATACTTCCTATGATAACTATAAATCCTGTTCATGTATAAGGGGTGTTCATGAAATATTCACGTCGTGATATTTGTAAACTATTTTTTAACATGTTGATTTTAAATTTTAAATTGAATACCTGTGTATAATTTGATTTATAATACTGCACGATTGTAACGCCGCTTTTCATTGGATAATCGTGACGTTTTTATAGTTTTATATACACGGCTGCTGTCGATTCATGAAGAAATCTTACTTTTTTCATTAAAAAATGATGCTTGCTGTATGATAAATTCGTTGTAAAGATTGTTGACAGGTTATATGGCCGTATTTAAATGGCTGTTTGCAATATAACCCTCGCCTAGCGGCCCGGGTTATATTTACAAAAAGCCGTTTATATACGGCCATATAACCTGTCAATAATCGTTATAACTAATAATATACATGTAAACAACGTAAACAAATACGGTGGATAGAAAATGAGTATAGGCTATGGGCCTTGCTACTTGTTCCAAGCGCAACTTTTCGGCCCTTCCCGCCAGTCTTCGGAAAAGTTGTGAGGAGTTTGGAATATCACATGCAGGAGTTTGGTCTCTCATTAATTTTACTAAACGGGAACAAACTGTTGAGTTTAAAAATCATTAACTTTTTTTTCTTACTGATCTAATAGTTTTAGGCAGAAATATATAAATATATGCATATGGATCTACGTTTTAACTGAGTAAAATGACAAATAACGTCCCGCGAACCGGATTCGAACCAGTGACCTAAGGATAACAGCTATACCACTACAGTCCTCCGCTCTACCAACTGAGCTATCACGGGATCACACTATCGTCTGCTATTTCTTATCTTGATAATGACCTTTTATGTACATTGTACAAGGTTTATTATTAAGTATAGTAAGCGTGGGACTAAACATACTAACATTTACCTTTACATATGATATTGTATTTTTTTATAATTATACGAACAACGATAAACTAAATGACATATATATTATATACATTTACTTAAATACAGTAAAACGTCACTAACACGAGCACTAAATGTTCTCTGCCGAAATGTTCAGATTCTAGTTATTTAATATTAATCAACCTATGATTTGTTACGGTTTTATCAATTTAAGCCATTCTTCTATGTGTCTATAATATTTAAAACCTGAGAATGTAGAATTACAGTGTAACCTGTATAAAGCGGACCTCTGTCGATCAATTATTACCTGTTTACAACAACGGTGTCAATTTTTCCCTAAAGTAACATAATCCATCATATGTATAGATTTCACCTCTAACAACCAAAATATTTCTGTCCTAAAATGTTTCCAGAGGTTGTACAGAATGTTATGATATTGGACTTAAAAGAAAAAACAAACAGGGAAAACATATTTATACTCCTTTACTTTCAATAGTGTTCAAATTTTTAAATTTTAATGAATTGTCTCTGTATTTTGTTCTTATATTTTGGAGGGGAAAAGTGCTGCAGGTCCCCCAGTAAAATATAAAACAAAGTTCGAAGCACTATAATGAGATAAAAATAATTAATTCGAATTGGGCCTAATACATGCACTACGAGGATTAGTGAATTGTCTTGGACCAATCAAATTTTCGAGTTATTTACTGTATAGTTTCTAATTTGTAATTATGAGATGTATAGAAATGTAGTACGTTAAGATTTTATTTTCGAAACTGAAACCGACTGAATCACCGTTTATAGACAATAAAGAAAGGTCATTTTATAAGTATTACGACCTAGTCATATTTATTATGAATGAAATCAAACCGACATTATCAATTAATTAAAACTCTAGCTCTGGCCTCCAATTTATCATCATAGTTTTTAGCATGCCTCACTGAATGGCTGTAATCAAACTTATAATAGGTCACCTTTTGGCAAATAACTAGATATAAATGGTGACATGGCCGGGGTCCGCAACATCAAGTGCCTGAAAGGGCGGATCGACCATACATGTGCATGTACATGTATACATACACCGAAAAGTCAGCAAATATAAATTACTACACCTGTTGCGCATGAACATACCTTATCTTAGATATTTATTTATGCTAATAACCAGTTGCAAAAACAATTATTCAGATCTGACAAGTTCACAGGATGATGGCAATGGTACAGTTACATCGACCAAAATACAATCGACTTCCACAACAAAAACGACAACTGTGACCCCTATGCCGACAAAGTCGACTACATCCGGTGCTGGAATGGCCTCAATCTCAGGTATTTTGCTCATCAATCCCAAAACAACCACACCACAAACACACGTTCGCACGCTAGCACGAGCTCATAATTCAAATAATGATTTAAAAAAAAAAAGTGAAAACTAGAAATGTGTCGTCACGCCACGGATGCATGCAGCCAAAATTTAATAATATGATATAATATTTAGCTCCTAATTTTTTTCATTCAAAGTTTAAATCCCTTAAAACTATACTATATTAACACAAACAATTTTTATACAAAGTTCATGGCACTGAAACTATTCAATGTTAACCTTTAGTAAATTGCATATTGCATATTTATATCAAAATAATGACTACATATATTACCACAAAAGTATGAGTGCTGAAACTGAAAATTTCATTTTTTTTTTCCAAAATTCAAGAGAGATAACTTTGTCCAAAATCATTGAACAACAACCAAATTCAAGCTTGAACTGCTTATTCCTAAGATGTATCTATTTGTCAAATTTGAGTTGAATGTGTACAACCATTGGGGATAATGAACGGAAACTCAAAATGTCTGGGTTTTGTTTTTTCAAAGTTCAAGGGGGATAACTCTGTCAGTTGTCCCAATTCGAACTTGACCAGTGTATTCTTATGACATATCCATATGTTAAATTTGAGTTAAATATGTACAACTGTTGGGGAGATAATGAACGGAACCTGAAAATTTCTTCTCTTTTTTTCAAAGTTAAAGGGCCATTTCTCTGCCAAAATCATTGAACCACGATCAAATTCAAACTTGACCTGCGCATTTTTTTGACGTATCCATATGTGAAATTTGAGTTGAATGTGCTGTATGGGACATAATGAACGGAAAGTGATTTTTTTTTTCAAAGTTAAAGGGCCATAACTCTGTCAAAAATCATCAAACCATAACCAAATTCAAACTTGACCTGTGCATTTCTTTGACGTATCAATATGTTTAATTTGAGTTGAATGTGTAATATCGTTGGGGAGATAATGAACGGAAACAGAAAATTTCTTCAAGGAGCATAACTCTGTCAAAAATCATCGGACCATGACCAAATTCGAATATGACCTGCATTTTCTTTTGTTATATCCATATGTCAAATTTGAGTTGAATGTGTGTAACCTTTATTAAGATAATGAATGACGGAAGGATGGAAGGATGGAAGGACGGAACAGGGTAACACCATATGCCCTTGCCATTTTATGGGGGGGGGTGCATAAGAAATAACAACGCTTACTTGTGCTAGAAATATTATATATATATGTGTATTTTTTCATTATTAGACAACTGCAAATAGGACAGGTGTCGTAACATACATGTACATGTACTTGCATATAAATTTGACTGTTTTCAAATTTTAAGAAAAGAAATCTTTTTTAATTTTAAGTCATTGTTACTTTGAGAATTGAGAAAAGTTATCAAAAATTATTCTAATTATTTCAGCAACTCTTTTAATCGGCGCATCATTGGTTGCAATGAAGAAGCTACATTAATTTCCAAAAGCAGACGACAAAATATGAGCAGACGACACAAAGCATATATTAGCAGACGACACCGAATCTGCAGACATTCAAGAAGATAATGATACTCCGATTTCAATTTTAAAAGCAGTCAATAATACCAATATTTCTTAAAGTTTGGATTAAGCAGTTTTATTTTATATTTGAAATAACAAACAAATGAAGTTCGTCTGAAAATATACCTTATCTCTTATGAAGTTCAATCATATAAATTATTATAGTTTTCATCACATTATAGTATGATATTGTATGGTCATGTGTTTCATGTTGGAATATCTCTATATTTAGTAACATGCATATAATTTTCTGATTCAATAAAACTTCATACAAACAATTTTTGTTTCCTTGTTATTTCATTATAGCATTTAAACGTCTGTCTCTATCATAAACGAACTTATCATGAACGAACTAAGTGTTTTCGGAATAGAAAACTATATGTCATAAATGTACTTGCAGTTTCATATCTAAAGTCATATGATTTTATCTTAAAGCCACTTGAAATTTGATTTCCTACAACCATTGAAATATATACTTCTCTTTGTATTTTCTTGATATTAACACTCGAGAGATTCTTATCACAGATCAATAATTAGGAAATGTTTTGAATAAAACGATTATACATGTACTGTACTGTAGAGAACTTGTAAAATATTTTGCTAAAATTATATGACCAGGTTATGGTTTAAATAAGCCAACATGAGCTTTACCTGACCTTTAAATGGGCTTTACATGAGATTTAAATGAGCCTTACATCAGCTTTACATGAGCTTTACCTGACTTTAAATGAGCTTTACATGACATTAAAATGAGCTTTACGTGACCTTTAAATGAGCTTTACCTGACCTTTAAATGAGCTTTACATGACAATTATATGAACTTTACATGAGCCTTACATGAGCTTAACCTGACCTTTAAATGAACTTTACATGACCTTGAAATGAGCTATACCTGACTTTAACATTACATTTAAATGAGCTTAACATGACATTTAAATGAGTTTTACATGATGACATTTGAATGAATTTTACATGACATTTAAATGAGCTTTACATGACATTTAAATGAGCCTTACACAAGTTTTACCAGACCTTTAAATTAACATTATTGCATGAACCTTACATGAGTTTTACCAGACCTTTGAATTAACATTATTGCATGAACCTTACATGAGTTTTACCAGACCTTTAAATTAAATTTACATGAGCCTGAGCCTTACATCAGCTTTACCAGTCAGCTTTACATTAGCCTATACATGAGTTTTACATGAGGTGGTACAAGACATAAGTATCCACAATGATTGCACAGAGAAAATCGCCATGAAATTATAGGTCATGTAGCACTAAGGCAATTTTAGTTGGAACACCCGAAACTTATATGAAATATTTTTTTTCTCATACAGTAACAAACATGAATACTAACTGTACGTTTTTCAGGAATTTTGTATGTTAAATACAATGCATTTCCTACATGACTTTTCAAACTTGTTATTCATCTATACCTGATTATGAAGAAAACTCATCGATTATTCAAACTACTTCAAGATCACTTGTAACACTAATCAGTTCTGAGGACATGTGGTAGCTCAAATTCAACATTCCTGGGTTGAAAGGCAGAAACTTGAACCATAAGGCCATCGTTTCAGAGACTTGATAAGTTGATGATAACGAATTCGGATATGTATGACTTAAAGGCACAATATGCTTCAGAAACAAATAAATTTTACTTTTTTAGAAGGGCAAACATAAATTTTATAATATTTAAATCATGATTTTAGATGCTTGTTACGTGACGAAAGATAAATGTGAAATAATGTATCATAAAAGTAGAAAAATGTAAACAAAATAGTATTTTGACTTCCACACAAAATACTAATACACTAGTATGATTGTACTTATTCCCAAAAAGCAACAGATGAAAAAGACGATTCATGGAACTGGCCAATGAGATTTTTTTGGATACTTTTGAAGTACACAAAAATTCAAAACCTTTTAAGAAATGAAACCTTTTAAGAAATGATATTTTAAGTATTTTTGAGGCACAATGGGCCTTTAATTTGTCATCAAGGTATTTTAAAGGTCTTTAATAAAACAAAAAAAATCAACATTATTTTCTATCTTTATTTCCTAGTTTATCAATGACTTATTGACGGACATATCTATATATTAACAATATAACAAAAAACAAAAAAATGCATCTTGTATCACAGAATTAAAATCAATACAATACAAAATAAAAATTTGTAAAATATAAATTATAGAAAAATGATATGTATCATGCGTAAAATGGTTATAAATACATATGAGCCGTGTCACGACAAAACCAACAGTGTGGGTTTTCGACCAGCATGGATCCAAACCAGCCTGCGCATCCGCGCAGTCTGATCAGGATCCATGCTGTTCGCTATCAGTTTCTCAACTTGTAACAGAGTTGGTAAGCGAACAGCATGGATCCTGATCAGACTGCGCGGATGCACAGGCTGGTCTGGATCCATGCTGGTCGCAAACCCACACTGTTGGTTTTGTCGTGACACGGCTCATATATATTTTCATTCCTGAAATTGCACAATGGACTTGTCCTTTTATCAATCTGAGTGGTCCGTTCTTAATTTCTAGGGGATTTCAAGATAAAATTGTGTAACAACTGGCAGCAGTGAGAATTACAGGATTTGGTTGTGCAGGTTGACCTGGCTCTAAACTGGTGACAGAGGATTCTCAAGCATTCATATACATGTACAGAACACCTGAAATGTCATTTTCATATTGAAACTATTTTAATAATGAACAAGTCTAGGAAAGTGCTATATTACTTAGACATTTTTAGACAAATTTTAATGTTACACTTTATGAAATATCATGAAATGTTAAATTCTTTTAATCACATTGTTTATATACACAATAAAGCAATAAATTGCTAAAAAAATTGGAAAAATCAATATTGATAACAATTGACATCATGAGATCTGAGATTCAATTGTCCTGTTGTATATCAGCTTTTGTTTATTTTTTATCACATGATATGAGATAAAACTGTCCTGTTATTTATCAGTTTTTGTATCATGATATCACATGATGTGAGATAAAATTGTCCTGTTATTTTTCAGATTTTGTATCATGTTATCACATGTGAGATAAAATTGCCCTGTTGTATAGCAGGTTTTGTATCATGTTATCACTTGATGTGAGATCAAATTGTCCAGTTATTTATCAATTTTTGTATCATGTTATCACAGGATGAGAGATAAAATTGTCCTGTTATTTATCAGTTTTTGTATCATGTTATCACATGATATGAGATAAAATTGTCCCGTTGTATAGCAGCTTTAGTATTATGTTATCACATGATAAGATAAAATTGTCCTGTTGTAAAGCAGCTTTTATATCATGTTATCACTTGAAGTGAGATAAAATTTAAATTGTCCTGTTGTATATCAGCTTATGTATCATGTTATCACATGATATGAGATAAAATTGTCCCGTTAAAGAGCAGCTTATGTATCATGTTTTCACTTGATGTAAGATAAAATTGTCCTGTTGTATATCAGCTTATGTATCATGTTTTCACTTGATGTAAGATAAAATTGTCCTGTTGTGTATCAGCTTATGTATCATGTTTTCACTTGATGTAATATAAAATTGTCCTATTGTATATCTGCTTATGTATAATGTTATCACTTGATATGAGATTTGTCCTGTTGTATAGCAGCTTTTGTATCATGTTTTCACAGACTTCCATGGTTAATTAATATCTTTTGATAAGCTAATTTGAAACCAGACATCCATGGTTACCCAAATTTATCTTCAGTTTCAATTTGTTGCATAGATATAGCAAGCAGAGCAATAATTGCTAATGTTGGTGTAAAAATCAGCACAAGTCAACATTTGTGCTTATATTTATGAACAAGAGCTGTCCGTAAGACAGCGCGCTCGACTTTTTTAGTGCTTGCCTATAATACAAAACATTGACAGTTAAGGGCCATAATTCAAATAAAATCTTTGACAGAATTACCTTCTCCTGGACATGTTTGGGAATCATGATTGTAAACAAGTATTCCAACTTTCAAATTAATATCTCAAACAGTTCAGTCAAAAAGTGGACTGGTACTAAAAACTTAACCAAGATTCTAAGTCGATAAAAGGCCTTAATTTTTAAAACAAATCCTTGACAGAGTTACCTTCTCTTGCGTACAGATGGGGGTAATGATGTGAAATAGCATTAAAAGTTTCAAAGCAATATCTCAAAGGGTTAAGGCAATAAGTGGATTTTACCCATATTCAATGTATTTTCTAAGTCAAAAAGGGGCATAATTCTGTCAAAAACCTTGACAGAGTTATGACCTCTTGTCTGTTGATGAAGGTCGTGATGGTAAACAAGTATGGTCAGTTTTAAAGCAATACCTCCAATGGTTTTGAAATAAAGTGAGGTGGTACAAAAAACTTAACCAAGATTCTAAGTCGATAAAAGGCCTTAATTTTTAAAACAAATCCTTGACAGAGTTACCTTCTCTTGCGTACAGATGGGGGTAATGATGTGAAATAGCATTAAAAGTTTCAAAGCAATATCTCAAAGGGTTAAGGCAATAAGTGGATTTTACCCATATTCAATGTATTTTCTAAGTCAAAAAGGGGCATAATTCTGTCAAAAACCTTGACAGAGTTATGTCCTCTTGTCTGTTGATGAAGGTCGTGATGGTAAACAAGTATGGTCAGTTTCAAAGCAATACCTCCAATGGTTTTGAAATAAAGTGAGGTGGTACAAAAAACTTAACCAAGCTCAATACACTTTCTAAGTCAAAAAAGGGCCATAATTCTGTCAAAAACCTTGACAGAGTTATGTACTCTTGTCTGTAGATGGAGGTTATGATGGTGAACAAGTATGGTAAGTTTCAAAGCCATACTTGTAATACTTCTGAAATAAAGTGGGGTGGTACGAAAAACTTAACCAAGGTGTGACGCCAACGCTAACGCTAACGCCGACGCCGACGCCGGGGCGAGTAGGATAGCTCCCCTTTTCATAGAAAAGTCGAGCTAAAAATGAAGAAAAAAATGTATTTGCTTGTGTACAAAGTAAGGTTTTAGGCACTCGTATACTGTATCAAAATTATAACTATAACATGTTATATATGCAAAATAGTTCTTCACTACATTAGTTACTGTGAAAACTAGCTTGCATGTCACATAAAATGTTAAAATTATACAAGTTTTTATAGTTGGCAGCTAAGTGTAAGGTTATATACATTTACTAAAAAGGTCAAGGTCATATGGGGACTTTTCAGCTTTACTTGTGGGGGGGGGAACCTCAAAAGCCCTTCCGTGCATTATTTCAGTCACCCTGAAGTGCCTTTGAAGTGGGCATCTTAAGTGTTTTATAAATTACAGATATTTGACAATTTGTTAACTGAACATATGATTTTATAAAAATTCTTTTTTAGCATCTCCAAAATTCAAAATGCCCATTAGACTATCATATATAAACTGGGATTTATTCAAATTTTGAGAACTACTGAGTTTCGTACAAATCAGTTGTGGCCAGCACATACATGCAACATATTTATTATATACATCAAAAATCATCTGCAGAATTGCAAAGCATCTAAATATCAAATATATAAAAGTAAAATCAAATAAAAAGATTGTTACATGATAACTATGTAAAAATTTACTCATGGACGGATAAATAACTTGAACTTTGAGCAATCTAAATCTAGTTCAAGTCTGAGATATAATATCAGATTGGTGTATACATGTATATATAAGATGATATATGGTTGGTTACTTGAATCTCTTTTTAACCTTTTAAAGTAAAGGTCATTCAAAATTGAATCTCAAAGAGAGAAATGATCTGTGATTGTTATAAATGAAGTTAATCTTTAAACTATTCTACAATAATTATGATTTAAAAACTTATTCTGTTAATAAAAATACATCATCGTATTCATCGAAGTGATCTTTTATTGACCTTGATAAGAAAAAAGGTATCATCATAGGTTATACAGAGACCCGTTACTGTCCTTGACCTTAAAATGCCAGTCTGTATCCAACTTTCTATTTTGATTTTATGTCAGTTAAATGTCAGACATATGTTAGTCAACTAACAGTACAACTTAGATCTGAACTGTTAAAAAATCAACTTCATTCTCACTAAAGTCATCAGGGATCAGTTTTTCTGTCTGCATTTTTTTTTAAAAGTGGGCACCTGAGTAGTATGTGTGATCTTAAATATACTTGCTGGACAGTTCTTCATATGAAAGAATCCTAAGTTCCTGGAAGTATAAAAAACAATAATGGATGTGAGGCCATCAATCTAACTATCTATAAGGTGCCTTTAGTTACAGACTGCCCGTAACATGATAACCTTCCTATTAATCCTTATTATTAACCCTTACCAACCTAAATATATTAAATGGACCTGTCCATCCATCTTTCAAAATGGAAAAAAAAACATTCATCATTTTTAGAGAAAATTTCAAAATATGTACTGACTAAATAGCAAACAATGCAGACTGTATGCTCAGACGGCATAGATGAGCTGACTGACCTTGGTCTGTACCGATCGGCTTGAGGTTCTGAGTCACCATCCGCAGGCTAAAAGTTAAGAACCTAATAACAAGGAATCTTTAAAGATACATTCTGAAACTGAGTTATTATATATCTATCTAGCAGTATATGATGCATTTTGGGTAAAATATACCTACGTCACTATTCATTAATTGGTTTTAAAAAAAACATAAAAATATTGGGTTCTGAAATGTATTACACTTGTTTTATTGTCAGCAGGTTTTTTGTTTTAAATGAAATCGAAATAATCAAAATAATCTAACTTATCCAGCAAAATTTTGAAAATGAAAAAAAGTGTGAAAATACTATATATCTGCATACATATTTGGCTGTATCTAATACATATGCCCACATGCACAAATACAACTCTACAAAAAATCTGTATTGTGCACTAGTGTGATCTGGAATGACTTTGCTACCTAAATGGCATTATGTATGCAAGTGTTGAATATTTAATTCAATTTGAACAAAAATCTGCACAACTTCATAACTAAATGTTATCATTCTTCTGTGGCTTATTTGAAGCCATCTGAAGGAATATTTGATCAATAATTGTAATAAATCTATAAGGTAACAAGAAATTTTGAACAAAAACTAAATAATAATATAAAAAACATGATAAAAAACAAAATGTTGAAATAAGATCATGAATATTAAAAGAGCAATGGTTATCAGATATTTAACAACACCATGTAAAATGTACAAGATAATGTTGAAAGACAATTACCTTTAAAAAGGAAATCAGGTTGGAATGTTTTAACATAAACATATAGTTTTCACTACATAATATAAATAATAAATATTACAAATAAGTCTCTAAAAACAGTTATATATAAGTATATAATATCACAGATAACATATCATATACAACAATATTCATTTCTAATCTAATTCAGTCTATAAATATATAATATAAGGTCTTTTTTTGGGAAGGTATTTCTCAGTATGTGCACTAGTCAATTTTTAAAGTCCCATTATGCCTCAGAAATGCTATCATTTTCATTTCTCAAAATGCTTTTGTTTTGGTATCTTGTTGCAGTTTCAAACAAATACTCATTTGCCACATATATTAACTATGTTTTGCGTTTTCTCTGTTGGCAATTAGTATAATTATAGTGAATTAGTAATTTGTATGGAAGTCAAAATACTATTTCGTTTACATTTTCCTATCTTCATGGCGCATTATTTCACGTTCGGCACTACTTTCTTTAGATGTACAACATCTTACATGCTCTAAATCCATTGGTTAAATTTCATCAAACTCATGTATGACTTTTCTTGATAAATGAAAAAAATATCAATTTCTGAGGCATAATGTGCCATTATTACAGTTATAATTTCTGTATTATCCTCACACTAGCTCTCTTTTCATGGTCAATTACATTAGATAAGAAAGGCATTCCAAAAACCAAAAGTTATGATTTTCCAATATGTATTAGAAAAAAAGTTCTAATTTAATTCAAACAAATTCGGTTTTCGAATGTTTTGCCTTTTCAGCATATACATTGTGACCTGAAAATATTGTTACCTAGTAACAGTTTTTTTCATTTTTTGTCTTACTTTCCGTAACTCTAAAATCCCCAATAAAAACCCCTACCCATGCATTTTCCAAAATTTCAACAAGTGAAAGGTATCCTGCAGTAACCCCGTCTCAAAATGATGTAAACAAACATTTTCATATGAAAAAAATATGTCACTTTTTTTTTCAAATAATAAGTTGATAATGATAATTTCTTTTGCATTAAGGTCCGAGTAAAAATATGAGTAAAAATTACAAAACATTCACACGTATTTCTAGATGGATGTTTTTCTATGGCTAAAAAAAAGCACTGTTTGAGATATATGTGGTACAAAAATTACAATAATATAATTAACAAAATTGTTTTCTTCACAATCATATAACACTTGGAACACTTTAATAATTCAGCTTTTACTTTGCATTTTACACATATTATTTCAACAAATTAATGTAGCTTTCACTCAATTTTTACAAAAAATAAAATTTAATCAGCACTTAAAAATTAACTTGACTTCTTTACTGTATATTTCACACTTACCAATTAAATAATTAAGCTTTGACTTAATATTTAGTTCATATATTCTGAAATAACTTTTGTTTCCACCCAAATGTGTAAAAACTTGTTATAAAAAGGACTATTTCATTTTTTCTTAAAACATGATTTTATCTTTTGTTTGTTTGTTTTTTGGTTTTACGTCACACCAACACAGTATAGGTCATTTGGCGACGTTCCAGCTTTACTGGTGGAGGAAGACCTCAGGTGCCCTTCCGTGCATTATTTCAGGCACGAATGGGCACCTGAGTGGAACCACCGACATTCCGTAAGCTAGCTCGATAGCTTCCTCACATGAAAGAATCCAAAGTCCCTGTCGGGATTTGAACCCACAGCGGTGAGGGGCAAGTGGTTTGAAGTAAATGACCTTAACCACTCAGCCACGGACGCCCCCTCAACTGAGAACAAAACAGTAAGTAATGAAGTCACTACAAGACTATAAATAATATTTAGTAGAACACGGGTTATTCTGTATCACTATCTTGACGAGATCTCTTCTTCTTTTTCTTCTGTTTTTTCAGCTTTGATGAAAATCTCCCGCCAGATTCTCCTTCCAGGTCGTTCTCACTATCCGACGAGATGTACCTCTGCATTCTTTCTTGAGTCATTCTTTTCCGTAAACCTTTATGAGATTTAACCTCATTTTCATCGTCCGACAAATCTCGCACGGACAAATTTCTCCGTGGACTCCACTGCATACTAACGTTAGATATATGTGTCATCACCGGCTTGACATCTAAACTTCCGCTGGTTCCCCTTCGTGACGGATACGGACTGGGCATATTATCTGTCCCTGAATCATCTTGTATAGATAATACGGGTCTAAGACCGCGCTCAGTTTTATGGAACAATTTTTCTGCCGGTTCAGGCTTATCAACAACTTCTCCTTGAATATTTTGTGGCAAAACGATATTGCTTAACTTTTTCTCATAATTATCTCCCTTGTTTTGATTGTCCTTAGTTTCTCTATCTATTTCTTCTCCCTCTTTTTGTTTTCTCTTCTTTTCTTTCTTGTGTTTCTTTTTCTTCTTTTTGGTAGTTTCTTCATCTTCTTCCTCAACAGGCTCAAGCTGAACATGAAACAAGATTGCATTTGAGAAAAATGCTATGCCACCGCATGGTTCAAATTTCATAGCTGTACATCAAAGGACAAGAAAGTAGGTCACATCATCAAAATCTAGGTCACCTGATATCAAAGTTCAATTTTACAACTAAAACTGTGCACATGGTCAAAATGTCGTTGCTGTACATCAAAGGACAAGGAAGTAGGTCACTGTCCCCTTGGGCAAGGCATAATTTTGACCCAATGGTTTTATTCAAAACAATCTTGATACAGGTCCACCAAACAACATTTCAAGTCAAATATCTAAGCTATAGCTTTCTCCCATTCAGAAAACATATGTTTTATTTTCTGTTTTTACTATGTGTACACAATGAGAAACACTGCCCCGGGGCAGGGCCAATTTTGACACCAGGGGAAAAATTTGAACAACTTTGGTAGAGGACCTATAAATGATATTATATATCAAACATCAAAGCTCTATGCCTTGTACCTTCAGACAAAAATATTTTTTATTTTTTCACTATATGTACATAATGAAAATCAATGACCCCCGGGGCGGAATCAATTTTGAACCCAGGGCTATAATTTGAACAATTTGCAAGAGGTTCATGTTCAATGTTTCATGCAAAATATCTTAACTCTAGCCTTTGTAAATTTAGAGAAGATGATTTTTTAAGTTTTTACTATATACATATAAGGAAAACCTATGGCCCCCGGGGGACGGGGCTAATTTTGACACAAGAGGCAAAATTTGAATAACTATTGTAGAGTACCTTTAGATGATATTATTTAACAAATATTAAAGCTCTAAGCCTTGTACCTTCAGACAATAAGATTTTTTTATTTTTTACTATATGTATATATTGAAATCAATGACCCCCAGGGCGGGGGCAATTTTGACCCCAGGGCTATAATTTGAACAATCTTGCTAGAGGTTTACTACACAATGTTTCATGCAAAATATCTAACCTCTAGCATTTGTCAATTGCTAGAAGAATTTTTTTTGAAGTTTTTACTATAAGTTTTTACTATATAAATATAAAGAAAACCAATGACCCCCGGGGCGGGGCCGATTTTGACCCCAGGGCTATAATTTGAACAATCTGGGTAGAGGTCTATCAGACAATGCCTTTGCAAAATATCTAAGCTCTAGGCCTTTTGGGTCTTTACAAGGAGGTGTTTTAAGTTTTTATTATATGTACATATAGTGAAAATCAATGACCCCGGGGCGGGCCCGATTTTGACCCAAGGGCTATAATTTGAACAATCTTGGTAAGGGTCTACCAGACGATGCCTTATGTAAAATATCTAAGCTCTAATCCTTTTGGGTTTTTACAAGAAGGTATTTTAAGATTTTACTATATGTACATATAGTGAAAATCAATGACCCCCGGGGCGGGGCCAATTTTGACCCCAGGGCAATAATTTGAACACTCTTGTTAGAGGTCTACCAGACAATGCCTTATGCAAAATATCTAAGCTCTAGCCTTTGGGTCTTTACAAGAAGATTTTTTAAATTTATTCTTATAATTACCAGATTTCTGCATGGAATGAAATTCTTTGAACAACTTTGGAAGCCATTCACCCAAGAAACAATCCTGCCAAGTTTGGTTGAAATTTGACTAGTGGTTTTTCACAAGAAGATTTTTTAAGCTCACTATATAATCTATATAACACACACACAAACACACACACATACACACAGGTGAATCGCTATATGCCACCGCATCGCAGATGCTGCGGTGGCATAAAAATTGACATTTAATGATTTCAATATCAACTAACCATTAATACAGAATTGTTTGTCTAAAACCATGGAGCTAAATATAAGATGGAGAAGAGACTGTGATGTCACACAGTTAAAATCAGTATCGGCGGAATTGTGTTCCCGCAAGTTATCATATGTCGCGAGATTTTGCGAGATTTGATGCATCCTGGGTAAAAGTAGCCAAAATACCGCCATATTGAATTCCCGGAGGTACATCAACAAAAAAGACTAAACATTTTTTACTTATATAAGAAGCAATAGTTATTTATTCTAAAACGTACAAAACACACTTTTCCACACAAATATTTCTCTGATGAAAATCCATGTTGGCAATGTAAGCAATAATTCATGGATATCGCCAAAGTTTAACGATAGCGTGAAAATCGGAGACTAGCTGGAAAGCCTGATTATCACCGAAGCGCGCAAAGGATTGTGGGTCTGAATCAGACTCTTGTCTATTTTCGGAGTTTCCTATCCGTTGTTTATATAATATTCTGTGCTAAAACAAACTTAAAGCTAAATAGTTCAATATTCTAAAAAGGGCTTGTATTCAATACACACATCTGTCTTTCTTAAGAAATTGCAGCATAAACCTCAATGTGTTACATAAAAGCTTACATTACATTCATCTAGGAGTATTTAGCTCAGAACCCAAAATGTTTTGTCACACAATTATAATGTTAGTTCAAAATGGCGACACATATGCCAATTGAATTTAAAAGTTTAAAAGCAGATCCATTTGTCTGCTGTGTTGCTCAGTCTTAAATATCTGCACTGCACTTACCTCAGTATTCTATTCATGCAGACTAAATGCACAAGCATATCTTTATATGATCACAAGTATAAGATTTCATATGGCATGCCCTTGATATGGCAACAGACTTTATGGGTTATGCACTTAAATGGCATAATTTAAATTTTGTCAGGTAATTTTGCCACTATATATCACATAAACAAAATACCATGAAAAATAAATAACAATAAATTTTCAGGATTTTAAGTTGCTTTAGTCTGGCAGATTTTGAATTTTAATTCATTTTTTCTGAAGAAAAAAAAATGAACAACAAAAAACAATCAGTAAAAAGGATAAAATGATGCTCATCTGTTAGTGAGTGAAGTAGGAACAATAACTATGCATAACAGTTGCCTCAACATACCTTAGAAATATCCTCTTTCTTTGAGCTGGCTAAATTACTTTTTATTGTTGAAGTGCCCATTGTTTCATATGAACTGATATTTGGTTGTTGATCGGCAATCACTTCATCCTCTATCAGTTTTGTTAACTCATCAACTCTGAAAAATATATGGCAATTAACAACAAAATATTACAAAAACAACAATCATTGATAATGAGGCTAACTTTCTATAACCTGTTATTACTATACAGTGTGAGGGGAACATATCTTTAAGCTAGAGTTCATTACAATTGTGCATTATTTTAGGCACAAATGGGCACCTGTGTAGTAATACTGATGTTCTGTGAGCTAATTAGATAGATTCCTCTCACACGAAAAATCAAAAGTCCCTGTTGGGATTTGAATCCACAGCAGTGAAAGGCAAGTGGTTTTAAGTCAACGACCTAACCCACTTGGCCACAGACTCCCCTTTAAAAATGAAGGAATAGTCATAATGATCATAGAAAAATGCATGTTATACCAGGTAATTATGACTAAATTTACTTTTCTTATCCATATTTACCATATTCCTACTCTTTTTTAAGAGGAAATATGGCCATTTCTTTACACTATCATTTCTATAGATAGTAAGAGTCTGAGGCTAGGTTTAATGTCTTAATTTGTACACTCGAAACATTAAGTAATAGTTTAATAATGATACAAGTAAGAGAAAATTAAATGATTTAAAGTTGAAAAGGAGTAACGTAGGAGCAACTGTGACAAGTTATTGAGAAAAATTCATGTCAAATATATACTGTCAGTAATTTCCATATTAAGGTGGGCAAAAGCGTGGCTGAGCAGTTCACACGTCAAACTAGAGATCTAAAGATTGCTGTGTAGGTTCAAACCTCGTCCGGGGAAAGCTTTTGTTTCCATTAGCAAGGATCTTTACATTCATTGCTTAGTACTGGTTGATTCCAGGAACAAATTTAAGAGTGCTTCAATAAGCTTATATACCTTCCAACATAATTGAACTAAAATAAATTAGTATAAACTAAATTTAGGTTATGCAAAAGTAGGGCAAAGACTAACTTCTAATAAGACCAATTATCAAATTGTCATAAAAAAACTTAATCTAGAGTTGTCCATCTTTAACAATTGGACCATAACCAATACCGTTTTTGAAGTTTGTTGACTGTCATCTCTATTCCGGACATTTCTTCTGCTTTCAACTGTCGCAAATAGTTCATCATCATCTCTTTCTCAAATAACTGAAGGTATTCCAAGTGTCGTCTGCCAAAATTCTGACCTTAAATAATATCATTCTTTCATAAATATAAAGTAACAGTTTGGGGACCTCCATGGCCAAGTGTTAGAAATAATTCAAACGCAGAACAGAGGGCTAGAGGTGGACAAACTAGAACTGCCACTATCATGGCGTGAATACCCCAGCATACCACTTTGTCAGAATCAACAGTGGCCATTTAGAGCTCAAGGACAACCTCCCTGCCAAATCTGAGTTTACTAAGCCAGTGCATTGCTAAGTTATGTATTCTACATGCTTCAAATGTGAAAATGTCCAAATCAATACATTGCGGACAGGACATTCTTTAGCAATTGAGAAGAAAAGCTTTTTTTTTTGTCGAGGTCCCTCTGACCTTGACCTTTGACCCAGTGACCTCAAAATCAATAGGGGTCACCGTATAGTCATGATCAACATCCATGCCAAATATGAAGACTGTGGGTCAAAGGAATCTTAAAATAATGGGTGGTCAAACTTTTTGAAGTCAAAGTCCTTTTGACCTTGACCTTTGATCGAGTGACCTCAAAATCAAAAGGGGTCATCTACTAATCATGATCAACATCCATACCAAATATGAAGACTGTGGGTCAAAGGAATCTAAAGTTATTGGGCAGACAAACTTTTTGAAGTCAAAGTCCCTGTGACCTTGACCTTTGACCTGGTGACCTCGAAATCAATAGGGGTCATCTACTAGTCATGACTAACCTCCATGCCAAACATGAAGACTGTGGGTCAAAGGAATCTCAAGTTATAGGGCGGACAAGCTTTTTGAAGTCAAGGTCCCTGTGACCTTGACCTTTGACCTGGTGACCTCAAATCAATAGGGGTCATCTACTAATCATGACTAACCTCCATGCCAAATATGAAGACTGTGGGTCAAAGGAATCTTAAGTTATTTGGCGGACAAGCTTTTTGAAGTCAAGGCCCCTGTGACCTTGACCTTTGACCTGGTGACCTCAAAGTCAATAGGGGTCATCTACTAATCATGACTAACCTCCATGCCAAATATGAAGACTGTGGGTCAAAGGAATCTTAAGTTAAAGGGCGGACAAACTTTTTGAAGTCAAGGCCCCTGTGACCTTGACCTTTGACCTGGTGACCTCAAAGTCAATAGGGGTCATCTACTAATCATGACTAACCTCCATGCCAAATATGAAGACTGTGGGTCAAAGGAATCTTAAGTTATTTGGCGGACAAGCTTTTTGAAGTCAAGGCCCCTGTGACCTTGACCTTTGACCTGGTGACCTCAAAATCAATGGGGGTCATCTACTAATCATGACTAACCTCACTGCCAAATATGACGACTGTAGGTCAAAGGAATCTTAAGTTATTGGGAGGACAAGCTTTTTGAAGTCAAGGCCCCTGTGACCTTGACCTTTGACCTGATGACCTCAAAATCAATAGGGGTCATCTACTAATCATGACTAACCTCCATGCCAAATATGAAGACTGTGGGTCAAAGGAATCTTAAGTTATTGGGCGGACAAGCTTTTTGAAGTAAAGGCCCCTGTGACCTTGACCTTTAACCTGGTGACCTCAAAATCAATAGGGGTCTTCTACTAATCATGACTAACCTCCATGCCAAATATGACGACTGTAGGTCAAAGGAATCTTAAGTTAAAGGGCGGACAAGCTTTTTGAAGTCAAGGCCCCTGTGACCTTGACCTTTAACCTGGTGACCTCTAAATCAATAGGGGTCATCTTCTAATCATGACTAACCTCCATGACAAATATGAAGACTGTAGGTCAAAGGAATCTTAAGTTACTGGGCGGACAAGCTTTTTGAAGTCAAGGCCCCTGTGACCTTGACCTTTGACCTAGTGACCTCAAAATCAATAGGGGTCATCTACTAATCATGACTAACCTCCATGCCAAATATGAAGACTAAGGGTCAAAGGTTAAGTTATTGGGCGGACAAGAAAAAACCGACGGACAGCCGGACGGCTGGACAGCTGGACGGACGGATGGACAAGCTGATTCCAGTATACCCCCCTTACAACTTTGTTGTGCGGGGGTATAACAAATGGACATCAGCCAAATGGAATAAGGGGGCATTTCTTTTGTTATTTTCTTTTGTTTTATATAGGGCCAATTGCCCCTTACCCTTCTGTTACAGAATGCACTCTAATGTTCTCTTTTGTTCTGTTTACAGTAAGATGGTCCCCTATCCCTATTATAAAGGGTAAATGCAAAAGCAATATGTCAATAATAATGACAGACAATAATTTTGGGAGACATAATTAATTTTTCTATTTTAAATAACAGTTACATAAACTTTGTATTCTATAAAAAGTGTTCTCCACTTCACTCACCTGTTCTGACTTTTCTCTGGCAAGTCTTTTTGACAATCCAGGATGCTATAAGGAACACATGTTGAAATAGAGATAAAGGGGGAACCAGCGCTGTTTTCTTCTCATATTCCATCACCAGAAAATACATCTGGTATTTCCAAATCTCATTGGAATTTTTTTCAACCTTGTCAAACACATGACTGGAAGAAATGGTTGAAAATTCACATATAAAACATGATCTGTTCATGAAACAGATGCCACATATATAAGTACCAATTTGACTTCTTATTCATGTCTCACTAATTATACATACTGACAACTTTGTGATGTGAATTATGGCACACGAGTAAACACATGCAACATATAATAGCATAAATTCAGTCAGCTAAAAATGAAGTGTATGCTAAGACGGCCATATTGTTCATTCCGATGGCAACTGTAAAGAGAACAAGAACTGTCGGAGGACAGTAACGCTCGACTATTCGAAAATTTGTCACAAGGGTGTTTCATTGAGTATAATAATGCTTACCTATATGAATACATAAAATTGTCCGAAAAGGTACAAACTCTTCAAGTTTCAATACATTCCCTTCAGTAGTTATGGAGAGACAAGCTTACATGCAAAAACTTAACCAAGAATTCATGTGTCGAAAAAGGGGCATAATTATGCAAAAAAGCAAATCAGAGTTATGGGACTTGTACCAATCATCTTAGATAATCACAGAGACCAAGTGTGTGAAGTTTCAATCCATTCCCTTCAGTAGTAATGGAGATACCAGCTTACATGCAAAAACTTAACCAAGAATTTCTAAGTCGAAAAAGGGGCATAATTATGTTAAACAGAAAATCAGAGTTATGGGACTTGTGCCAATCATCTTAGATAATCACAGAGAACAAGTGTGTGAAGTTTCAATCCATTCCCTTCAGTAGTTATGGAGATACCAGCTTACATGCAAAAACTTAACCAAGAATTTCTAGTCGAAAAAGGGGCATAATTATGTAAAAAAGCAAAATCAGAGTTATGGGACTTGTGGCAATTATCTTAGATAATCAAAGAAAACAGGTGTGTGAAGTTTCAATCCATTCCCTTCAGTAGTTATGGAGATACCAGCTTACACGCAAAAACTTAACCAAGAATTTCTAAGTTGAAAAAGGGGAATAATTATGTGAAAAAGCAAGTCAGAGTTATGGGACTTGTGCCAATCATCTTAGATAATCACAGAGAACAAGTGTGTGAAGTTTCAATCCATTCCCTTCAGTAGTTATAAAGATACCAGCTTACATACAAAAACTTAACCAAGAATTTCTAAGTCAAAAAAGGGGCATAATTATGAAAAAAAGCAAATCATAGTTATGGGACTTGTGCCAATCATCTTAGATAATCACAGAGAACAAGTGTGTGAAGTTTCAATCCATTCCCTTCAGTAGTTATGGAGATACCAGCTTACATACAAAAACTTAACCAAGAATTTCTAAGTCGAAAAAGGGGCATAATTATGAAAAAAAACAAATCAGAGTTATGGGACTTGTGCCAATCATCTTAGATAATCACAGAGAACAAGTGTGTGAAGTTTCAATCCATTCCCTTCAGTAGTTATGGAGATACCAGCTTACATACAAAAACTTAACCAAGAATTTCTAAGTCGAAAAAGGGGCATAATTATGAAAAAAAGCAAATCAGAGTTATGGGACTTGTGCCAATCATCTTAGATAATCACAGAGAACAAGTGTGTGAAGTTTCAATCCATTCCCTTCAGTAGTTATGGAGATACCAGCTTACATACAAAAACTTAACCACAGGGACGCCGACGCCGACGCCGACGCCGACGCCGACAAATGGGTGACTGCATTAGCTCGATTATTCTGCGAATAGTCGAGCTAATAAACACAAACACATCTGTGGGTAAGGTCATTAAGGGGTCAAGGTCATATTTCAAATTGTAGCTCTTATTAAAACATATCTTCAATTGTGGCTAAAAGTTACAGAAAGAAGTTGAAATATGTCAAGGATAATGTTATGTTCACAATCAAGGATAAAGTTATGTCCACAATCAGACTTACAGACTTGACATAAACAATTATCATCCTAGCATTTTTATAACCTAGGTTTTATACACTATATTTCTACATGATCATATTTTGATATAGACTTTTTTTTCTTCAAAATATCAAAACTGACTATTGCACACTTACCTAAATATGGCAATGAGTAAATTAAGAAGTAAGATATTTCCGACCAGTAGGTATGCAGCCAGTAGAAATTTGATCAACCAATGTCCGGTTTTACAATCAGCTGATCCCGCTACACAGGTATCCCCTGCTGTAAAAAAAAAAACAAACATCGTAAAAATTTTACTTTATTATTAAGAACATCTTTCTTGACATATTACACCAGTATTTCAAGTAGGTGGGTGTGCCAGAGAGGTTAATATTAGTTGTTTGAACTCGAGTCACAATCTAGCATAACTGAAAATACATAAACTAAACCTTAGCACACTGACAATAAAAAAGGTCCTCCAGAAAAATTATATCATGTATTCCAGATTTCTATGAAAAAATGTCAGCTATTCATGGATACAGATTCTGTAATTCACTTATTTGAAACATTCTGTTTTGCGCTGAACTTCAGTGGGATATACTGAATCTTTAATTTTTTTTTTACAAAATTTCAAAGATTTTGTTTTTCACTGATTCATAATATCATATAGTCAGTATAAGTGGATATTTCCGCTTGTTGAAAAGTTAGCAAATTAACAAATTCCAGAAATTTTGCATGTGGAAACTGAAAACAGGTTTGGTGATATTTACGCTAAAGAAAACTTGAACGATTTATGTCAATTCGCGAAATTCATCAATATTTCCACGTCAATAATTTTAAACACTTATATACAAGTATTTCATTGACATCAATCAGTGAGAAATATAACTGTGATATATTTCACTGCAAAAAAAGCTTCAATTTTCTGCTGAACATTAAGCATACAAATTTGTTTTATTTATACATACCATCTATCTCTTCTAGAAATATTTCACCATACAACTGCCAGTACGGAAAATATACAATATCTTTCAGTATAGCCCATGATGGTGTTCGTATATCATACAGTAAACCCTGGCTTGCCACCCCATATGCCAATAAGAACACAAACAACACCATTACAAACATCCTCAACTCGTCCAACTATATGATGTGTGAAAAAGAATTAAAATATTTTCATCATCTGTTTTAAACTTAAGGCAAGAAACTTAAAACTTATTGCTCAGTATTTTTTTTTGGGTGGGGTTTTATGTTGCACCATCACTGTATAAGTCATATGGTGACTTTCCTGCTTTACTGGTGCAGGAAGACCTCACATGCCCCTCTGTGCATTATTTCAGTCATGAACAGGCACCCGAGTAGAACCACAGATGTTCCGTAAGCCAGCTGGAAAGCTTCCTCACATAAAAGAATCCAAAGTCTCTTACAGGATTCAAACTCTTAGCAGTGAAGAGCCAGTGGTTTGAAGTCAACGACCATAACCACTCAACCACGGATTCCCCATTGCTCAGTACTGGTTTATTTGAGATAAGAGACTTACAGTTTCTAACTAAAATAAATTCTGTAACTATTATAAGGATTTACCATGCTTTGTTTCTTTGTATTTAGAACAGTTAATTTGCTTGAAAATTATGGGATTTCAATATTAAAAGACTAAAATTTTTGGTACCATTAGCATATACAGAGCCTGGTCTATACTCACTGATAGAATTTCATGTAATATGATAACTTGTAAGATTCTAAATACATAATTAAAATCCAAATTAAAGACTTTATATCAAAAACACAACAGTTGAAATTTACTGACCATTCTTTGTATCATGAATATTTTTGGCCCAAGTTGACCATTGGTTACGTAGATCTTCATAATTCGCAGGAAGAATATGATCGAGTTAATACAGTAAAACACCTTCGTAACTGAAATATCAATACAGATATTGTTTGTTTGATTTGGGTTTTACGTCGCACGAACACAGTATAGGTCATTTGGCGACATTCCAGTTTTACTGGTGGAGGAAGACTTCAAGTGCCCCTCCATGCATTTTTTCAGGCACGAACGGGCACCTGAGTAGAACCACCGACGTTCCGTAAGCTAGCTGGATAGCTTCCTCACATGAAAGAATCCAAAGTCCCTGCCGGGATTCGAACCCACAGCGGTGAGGGGCAAGTGGTTTGAAGTCTATGACCTTAATCACTCGGCCACGGACGCCCAGGGCAATACAGATATAAGTACAAATTAAAGTAAATTCTAAGCAACACAATCTAAAATATGCATAATTCTAAAATTCAACTAGAAATGTGTCCATAGGACACGGATGCCCCCACACACCACTGTTCTGTCAATCTTATGACTCTAGGTCAAATATTTTTTGGACTACATGTGCCACAAGTTGAAAACTAAAAATCAACAAAGGGCCATAATTCTGTTAAATTTGGTCGCAGCAAAAATTCCTACCTTAACTACCATCTACACATTAAGGTTGTTAATCCCTGGAAGTTTAAGCAAAATCTGCCATCCGGTTTAAGAGGAGTTGCGTTCACAAAATTTCTACATAGTATATAATGAAAAAAACAACAAAGGGCCATAATTCTGTTAAATTTGGTTGCAGCAAAAATTCCTTCCTTTACTGCCATCTACACATAAAGGTTGTTCATCCTTGGAAGTTTAAGCAAAATCTGCCATCCGGTTTAAGAGGAGTTGCATTCACAAAATTTCTATATAGTATATAGTGAAAAAATCAACAAAGGGCCATAATTCTGTAAAGTTTGGTCGCAGCGAAAATTCCTTTCTTTACTACCATCTTCACCTTAAGGTTGTTCATCCCTGTAAGTTTAAGCAAAATCTGCAATGCGGTTTAAGAGGAGTTGCGTTCACAAAATTTCTACATAGTATAAAGTGAAAAAATCAACAAAGGGCCATAATTCTGTTAAATTTGGTCGCAGCAAAAATTCCTTCCTTTACTACCATCTACACATTAAGGTTGTTCATCCCTGTAAGTTTGAGCAAAATCTGCCATGCGGTTTAAGAGGAGTTGCTTTCACAAAATTTCTTCATAGTATCTAGTGAAAAAATCAACAAAGGGCCATAATTCTGTTAAATTTGGTCGCAGCGAAAATTCCTTCCTTTACTACCATCTACACATTAAGGTTGTTCATCCCTGTAAGTTTAAGCAAAATCTGCCATCCGGTTTAAGAGGAGTTGCGTTCACAAGATTTCGGGACGTACGGACGGACTGACGGACTGACGGACGGACTGACACTCGGACGGACAAGTGCAACGCTATATGCTCCCACTCTGTGGGGGCATAAAAATCAAGTATACTGGTATAAATTTACAAAATGTTTTTAAATTAATAGAAAATTAACTGAAAAAGAATTATCAAATCAATAAAAATGTTTTTAAATTACATGTAAAAGATTAGCAGATTTAACAAAATGTGCAAATAAATAAACAAAATATAATATTTTATATTATCAAAATTTATTCATCAAAATTGATAAAATGCATCAATGAAATAAAAAAGTTGCTGTAATTGTTATTATTAAATTAACAAAATGTATTTTCAAATTAACAAAATAAAATATTTATTTACAATATTTTTTTAAGATTCCTTTTAAAAATCATTGTCAATATACCTTGATAGTGGTCCTTAAAATGGTGTACAATAAAAGCAGTAAATGCCAAAATAAAGTTAGCGAGGTCCAGCCATTTTAAAAACCCATACCAGTCTCTAATCTTTGATTTTGTTGTAGGTGACGGGAATGCTATAAACTAAAATACATAAAAGAAATTTCATTTTCTGATTAAGATTTTGGTTGGACTTCCTGTAAAATTTACAGGAAAAAACTGAATATAATTATGTAAACTGAATATAATTATGGCCATATAAAAATTACAATCTGAAGTCTCAGAATCTGCTTGGCCATAGTAAAATTAGTAAAATAACATAAATCTGATTGTCATAAACCATAATTATCATATCTTGTGTGATTTTGCCCATTTACATAGATAAAATATACATCTGTAATATCACCCACATGACATTATTATCTTTTCACCCTTATGTTGATGACCCTTTACAAAATTACCCATAGATGCATCCATAAATACTTTTTGAAAATCACAACTCTAAAGTTGGGTCAAATTTAAACAGATGCTGATTACATTTTATTTCCCAAGAACACTGTCAAATGGTGCTTTCATATTTAATTTTATGATAATTATTGAAACTGGGTGATTGTACATGATGTTAACATTCTAAATGTTCCTCAAAAAGTTGAAATATTACTTTATGACCTCTTAAAGATTAGCTGTGTAACGTCTGATTTTATAGTCTTGCATTCATTCGTGAGTGATGTCACTATAATACTTCATCCCCATTAAATGATGAAATAATTTTATCATGTACTTTAAGTTACTCCCTAGTCTAACACTCAGGTTAAACTCAACAGGTCCTGGGAGAAAATACAGCATTATGGGCCATCCTTAAAAAAATGTTTGTTTGCAGTAACCCGACCCAGAATTTTCAAGGTGGGTAGGTAGGTCGATTTTTTTTTTTTTTTTTAATGAACTGTACTTCAAAATAAACATGGAATTTCAAAATGCTGGACAATATATGCTTTGTTTATCTGGTAACAATTAATAAATTGATAACTGAATTCTAATTTAATAAGACCTACATTTTATTTCTTCTATTAACCTTTAAAAGAACAAAACAAAGCACAAGGCATAATTTTCTGATTAAAAAAAAAAAAATTTTTATCCTGACCATGAAAAAAAATTTGAGTAGGGGCAAATTTTGTGAGTCGGTCGCGTTACTGCAAACAAACATTTTTTTAAGGATGGCCTACAGAACAGAAAAAAATCTATATCAAATAGAGGCTTGTACTTACAGTGTGTACATCATCTATGAAGAAAGAAAACACCCAGATGATCATGATGATCTCCAATGGTGTCACATGATCAGGTTTAAAATCCACCAGTACCATGTACGAATGTAGTACTAGAAACACAATGTACATCACCTGAAATAAAAAATTAAAGTTTTCAAAGTATTATCATAATTGTTAAATGCAACATTTCCACAACTTGAAAGATTTCATTACAAAATAAGAATTTCAATTCTCTGACATAATTATATGGGTTGAGTTTTTCCAAACACATCACCAACACTGTAAAAAAGACATATGGCAATTTTGCAGCTTTTTAATGGTTGAAGGAAACCTCGGGTGCTTCTCTATGCATTATTTAAGTAGACAACTGTAGTAAACTCACCAACCTTTGGTAAAATAACTGGATAACTATCTCACATGAAGGAAAGAAAAATATCTGGTATCATTACAACAAACAGTGGGGATGGGCAAGTGAATGCAAATCACTAACCTTACCAACTCAGCTATGCAGTACCCAAAATTATTCTAGAATTCATGAAGTCTGATGAAGTAAAATTCATGTAAGAAATGATCATAATAAAACCTAATCCTGAAAAAAAGATTTACTTAAATCAAAAGACATCTAAACAATAACTTTATATATAATAATCTGTTGCCTTAAAATTTCACTGTATCTAGGACTTACCATTCCATAGGCAAACTTTGCCATTGGTGAAGAATAGAAAATGCCCATCTTCTGTATCCATGTCAACTTATTCTCTCCCAAACTCAAAATCTCTAAACCAAATGCAATGTATGGTGGGAAAAACATAGCAAATATCATCTGCAAGGAAAATCAGAATAAAATAAAATGAAACAGTTATCTTATACTGTATAAAGTACAACATCATGAAATAAAAATGAAATTTTGCAAATTAAAAAAATATGTAACACTTTGGAAGCAATTACCAGTAATAAATAACTATCTATTGCACAGATCGAGTTATTATGTAAACTTTGTGCAATAGAAAATTATGAATTTAACAAAAATGTTCCAAACTGAATGCAGGGCAAATCAATTTTCCCCAAAAGTAAGTGATGGGTTAACTTAAAGTAGGTCAGTATAAAGATTTGTTGCAATCTGTTTTTTACACATGTAAGTAAAATTATATATTTTTGATTAATTTTCCTATATCAATGACATAAGAAATGAATATACACTTTAATGAAGCATTATTATTATTCTAAAAATAACTATCATATTTCTATAACAAACCTTTAACCAGGAAAAGAGAATTCCGTGTTTCCAGATAACGTTTAACGAAGAAAAACACGTGACTGATGACAGGAACACCTGATCTGTTGCTGCTGCTGCAATCTGAAATGAGGTCATCTCGTTCCAGCACGGAGATTTGCGCTCGGCAATCATCATGGCCTTGTCTGGGTCCTTGTGGTGGCATTCATTTAGTACCTCAGTTGCCAGTTTCTCAAACTCACTTTAAAAAAAAAATCCACACATAATCAATTTAATGTGAACAATTTAGTCCTCTCTCCCATTAGTTTTTTACTTTTAGCAATATTTTTTCAATCCATTTATAGTATTTATGAAAATAGAATATAAAAATAGACTTAATGCAGCAAATGAAGTTAGATACAAAAAGTTTTGTTTTTTGTTCTCCTAAAATCTTTACTCAATATTACATACCTTATAAACATATATAAATGTAATAAATTGACATTTATTTTATTTCATTTTTTTTTTACCCCTCCCTGATTTTTTTTGGAACACCTTAGTAGAACCACTGACAATCGGTAAGTTAAGTGGATAGCTTCCTTACATGAAAGAATCCCAAGTCCCTGTCAGTATTTGAACCCACAGTGGTGAGGGGCAAGTCGTTTGAAGTTAATGACCTTTACCACTAGGCCGCTGATTTATGAATGACTGGTCACAAAACTTAGCACTAGAATTTTTCAATTTTACTGGTTTAAAAGATTGAAGAGACAAAAGACAAATATTTTACTTTTCACATTCATAGAAACTTTCTTTCAGGTGGGATTCGTGTCTGGGTAAGTTTTTGGCCATGGCATGATAAATCCTGGTGGCAGCTAGAGCACTAGTGACTGGTTCTTCTCCTAGCTCCCAAAAAAGCTTCGCAAGTGTTTGTCTGAAACAGAGTTTATAAAATTTATTATAGTTCATAAATTATGGTGTATCCAATCTGGGACTTAAAAAACCTTATTTTTTGTCCCATATCCCAAATATATTGAATAAGAAGTATTGAAAATTTGAAAACTTGAAAAGGCCTGTAATTCAAATGGGTATATGTTGGGTTTTTCTGTTGGTTTTCATTCTTCTAATAAAGCGAATTTGTCAGTTTGCAATTATTTCCTATTGGGTTTTCACTCTCCCATTGAGATGATTTTTTTGTTATTTTGCTACTTGTTGGGCTCTTGTTTTTCCAATTAACAGGAGTTTGGTCATTTTTTTCATCTACCGTGTGGTTTAAGTATGTCCAACCAGTTCTGTTATTATTTGTCAGTTTTCTAAAAAAAAAAGAATTGTTGGGGGATTTAAATTAGGATTGTTAGGGGCTTTAAATTCAGGGTATTTTGTCTGTACTCAAAAAAGCATTGCATCATTCATTCACACTGAATAATCTTTTGTGACAAATTAATTCCAAACATCCTCAAATGATATTTGTAAAGTTTGGACAAAACAAAGTTTTTTCAATTACTTATATTTATCATCATTCACAACAAAAACATGACTCATGGCCTAGAAACCACCTTTTTTTTCTTACCGTTTCATCAATAATGCCCACACCAGCAACATTTTGTAGGGTCTCTTGAATCGTCTTAACTTTCTGTCTTTAACTATATCTTTTTCTGCATCAACGTCCTCAAGTGTTTCATCAAATGTATCATATCTATCCAGTAATCGTTTCAACAAGATACATACATTCTCTAAACTCAAATCTTCCTTCCCAGTCAGTCTATGTAGTAGCTTATATAAAAAGTTATGTTTTGGCACCTATAATATAAACATAAACAGGTGCTTTAAACGTAAGATATAATATTAGGTTATAATGATTTTTGGACAGGTTATATGGTCATATATAAATGGTTCTTTACACATTTAACCTGAGCTGCTAGGCAAAAATTATATTGCAAAACAAATCCATTTTTTGTATCAAACATTATTTTTACAATTGAATAGATGGAACATCAAACTTTGCGCAGGTATAAATTTAATGAAGGAAACATGAAATTTGTCAGAATTATAAACAAATTCTGGGTAATTCTGGATCATCCCTTGTATTGTAAAATCTGTTTAATAATTTTTTAATACAGCAAACTTCCTTCAATCGGGAAAAAAAGTAATAAAAAACTTAAAGATGAAAAGTGAAAATTGCTTAAGAAGAATTTGGTCCTACAATTGGGCAATGAGAAATTTTTTGGAAAATTTAACAGGACAACAAAAATAAAAATCTTTTGAGAAATATAACTACATGTATTAGCATTTTTTAGCCAAAATGGGCCTTTAACACATGCTGTTGTAAGTCAAATAAAATGTGGAAAAGGTAGATCCTTAAGAGCAATGAAAACAAAATTTTACAGAGTGAAAATTGGAATCACTGACTTACATCTTTATATAATCTCTCTAGTACTTGTACAGTAAGATATTCCTTCATTACTACACCCTGTTGTAATATCAGCAGTACAAACTTAACCTTGTTCGTCAGCAGAGCTTCTGTTAAAATGTCATCCAAACTTCCTGAAATTTAATATTGTACCATACTTGAGAATTAGATATCAATTCTGAGTGCATTGTTGTAGCCTAATGCACAGTTTAAGTTCAAATGCGTAGTAATATAATCACGAAGGTCGATAGGCCTGAGTGATTAATTGCAAAGCATTTGAACAAAAAAACATGCATTATTATACAATAGTGTTAGAATGCAAAATGAATTCTTATAATATTCACCTTCTTTCCTGAATGATAAGTTTACAACAGCTGCATACTTGATGTTTACCCAGTCTCAATATTTATTAAAGCAAGACTCATCCAGGAATATAAAAAAGGTAATATAATTAGATAATTATCCAAAAGCATGTGCAGTTTCATAAAATTTCCAATTTTACAGCATTAAAAATAGCACCAGACAGCATCAACATAACATTTACATGACATCATAAAAATCTTAATCCATTGTTTATTTTTTTACTTTAATATATCTTTCAATGCATTGAACAGGAACCATTGAAATTCTGTATTTTACTGAGTCACAGTTTCAAACAGTGAGATTAAACTTGTACATCTTATCTCATAAAAAAGTATACGATAATAAGAGAAAAGTAAACCTGTGCTCCACAGTACATCCTCCCTGAAGATTTCTTCTTGTGCTATATCAACCCTATCCCAGGTCAGTGCTAGCTTTAATTGACTCAATCTCTGCTCTTCATCTGCTCCTTTCTTAGCTGAAATAAAAACAAACATAAATTCAAAGTTTACATTAGTTTTTACAGAAATTATTTTAGTTTATGTAGGAATCAATAAGATTATGGACACACTCTCAAATCCATTCCTGGAACCAACCAGTAGTGAGCAACAAGTATAAAATTTCATGCTCAAGGAAACAACAGCTTTTCACTGACAGGTTTGAACCCATAAGTAATTACCTGAGTCCAGCACATTTAAAACTTGGCCATGCCTCCACTAGTAAAAGTTACTGCCTATGTACATAAACATGAATGTTTATAAATTTAACCTTTAGTCTTCATTACCTCCTTTCTAAGCTGATAAATAAATAGCTGAAATATAAAGTAAGCACTGTCGTCTGCATAATTATGGATGATGCACTGTCTGAGTTGGCTTTTTTGTGTTTCATATTCAGCTGTAGACATTTTTCTTCCGCATTAAAAAAAAACCCCAAAAAAACCTGACTGAAATTCAAAGTTAACAGTGTCATCTGCTTTTTTACATTGATGTTTCTCAGCGAACCTGCTGTTTCTTTATCCATATTTCTATATCTATTTCTATATCTATATCTGTTTCTATATCCATATTTTGCTAGAAATCATCATCGTCATATATCCAGGGTTGATTAACATGTTAATGGCCGTTGGGTATCCAAGGACGGAAATCATTTGCTTGGCAAATCTACGAATCAGGCATAATTTGTTTGCCTGGTATGTATCCTAAGTGTTATTTCCATTCATTTCATATAATATTGATCATAAATACAAAAATGCTCAAGTTAAAGAAAAGATGAATTATGACAAAACAATATTCTGAATCACATGACCAACAGACTCCGGAATTAAGAATATTTGGGTTTTTCCCAGCTAATAACGTAGGTACAGACAAACTTTTACAGTAATAGCTTCGGAAATAAGTGTAACATCTATTGTGATGGGTAGTGCACCGTGAAGCTCTAAACGGTAAAAGTTAGTTTGTACCTATAGATTAGCAGGGAAAAAGCCACTTTGCCAAAGTCCGGATAACGTCTATTAAAAATGACATAGATTAAAAGTTTACCTACCTTTCAACAAGACTGAGAGAATGGACAAGTCTAAATCTTCATGTTTGTTCATATGAAACACAGTCAACTGAAAAATAATTTTATATTATTGAAATGTTTCCATTAAAACTTACAATAATGGGTAACCACAATATATAATCCAGTTTGTTGATTCCATTGTTCATTTTGATGGGCTTTTGCAGTTACAGAGGGAGGGTAAAAATGATACTGGCTGTTTTAATAACAAGGTAGGAATCACATTCTCTGTCCAATGGCATTTTTGTGTTTCGATGAAATGGGGATATATAAATGCATTCCATAATTACTCATTTACTCAAAAGCATTCTTTTATTTACATTATAATGGGAATAAATATGTGAATTATAAATCCTTATATCATTAATATTTTAACGGAGTTTAATCCCTTCAAACAATATAGAAAAACTGATTTTTCAACATAATTACCATTACATTACTTATGTACATCAATATAAAATCATAATATAAATCATGTTAAGGTAACATAATGTTTTTAAGACATACCAGGTCAGAATTTTGACAGCAGATCTGTACGGACTCTTTGATGTCTATCGTCTTTTTCTGTATTTCCTCGTCTTTCCAATTCTTACCATAAGCATCAAAGATTTTGTCCATGAGTTTAAGCTCATGTTTCTCTTTCATACTTCGGATTCCACTAAAATGATGAAAAACAATGATAATCAGTCTGATAAGAAATAAGCTTTTACATGTTAGAAATATATAAGACTGAGCAACAATATTCAATGGCAGAGCTGCCACTTGTTCAGCATGCTTGACTTATTATTCTCAAAGCCTGATTCTTTAAACCGGTTTAATTTTCTGAATAGGAAGAGTCTAACAGAATTTTTAGCAGGTAGTTGTTACATTTTAACACATTTCCAGTATGCTGAATCCATTTTTTGCTATACTTTGGCTGTACTCGAACTCGAAGGTCAAATCAAAATGGCCACCATTTACTTTCATTTTTTTACCTATTTTTTCTTGTTACTTGTTCTAAGCTTAAATGTAAAACACTTTAATTATATTCATTTAAGTAATGCATAAATGTTTATTAGAAATAATTGCTAGAGTTATAGGCCTGAATCAGGTATCTTTAGTTTGAGCGAGAAGAGGTGTGTGAAGTTTCACATGAACACTTTCAGTGGTTGCTGACATAAAACTTGCCTGAAAAATCTTAACTACAAAGGATAATAATTAAAAGACAATTCATGCTTGTGTCTTGGCCAGTGACCTATTACTATGACCAAAGAGAAATGTGTGAAGTTGTAAGTGAAAATCTAAGATCAAAACATGTTGTATGGACCTTTCCGGTTTTTCGTAGCAGAACATTTAGCCACACCTTTTCCATTCATTGCTAGGTCAACTGCTCACAAACAGTATCACAAACATAACCATGTGTTCTTTTGTGCAATACAGGTCAACCAGTGACTATGTATAATCTCAGTGTAGCAATTTGATAACAAGTTAGCCAATTTACATAAAACTGTAAACACCGGAAAGGTCCATTAAGTTTGAACACTTTCAAGACTTTCACATAAATGATTTACTAAAATGTATCCGAAAACAGATACTGCTATTATCATTAAAACAGCTCACATAATGTTATTTACTCACCCGGAACTTGTTTTTGTATGAGTGTAAGCGTATGCAATGATATCAGCAGCTCTACCAGTACCCGCACAAACGACGACGGGAATCTTGTGCTCGATTGACGTCCTGGCATCATTGATACAATCAGTACCACCCTCAACTACGACAAGTACAACCGGTATACCTAAACCTCCCTCTGAAATGTGCAAACATTTGACATAAATGTTACTTTATGATTGTTGTTCATGAACTCTTTATCTTGAAAGGAACATTTTTCCTCAGAAATGAATAATTTTTCCTTCTTTAGAAAAGGCAAACATGAATTTTGTTATGTTAAAATAGTTGTTTAACATGCTTAATAAACAAAAGATAGTTAAAATTTAGACTGGTACCGTATAAGTGGTATTTTCTGCGTTGGCTTTATTTCTGCGTTTTCTGCGGTCAGTTTCGGCACCGCAGAAATAAAAACCGCAGAATATTTCTCTAACCTGCTACGATATGTATCCTACTTAGTGAGCTGATCTTCTAAAGTAATAACGACTAACAAATTATAACGGTTAGCAGGTCTTCAAGTTGTATAAAATTGCTGTCGGGTAAGTATGTAATATGTGTTTGTTAGGATGTACATTTAATTGTTAATAATGCTTATTTAAGAATAAAGATATTTCAAACCATCCCAACCCTTATACTGCTAAATAATCGTTGTATACTTTAATTGTCATCTGATTTACGGTAAACTTCTATCAATTTTATAAAATTAAAGATACTACCGGGGGTATATTTTTCACACGTCACTTCACGCTGATCAAAGATGTATACCTTTCTATTGTTGCGCATTTTATTTGTTTGCAAGCAAACAATATAATTGTTTGTAATTACTATACAGTGTTGCGGTGACGACAATAAACAAAAGCGAACGTGTACATGCAAATATGATAGGTAGGGTAATGTGACTTAGACTTTGATAACACGAGTCACAGAATTTAAATCACGTTTTGTCCAAACAATGTGCCGCAGAAATAATGTCCGCAGAAATAAAAACATACCAAAATTTGGAAAAACCGCAGAATTTGGAGCCCGCAGAAAAAACCACTTATACGGTATGTAAGAAAACCTGATATTGAAGTCCATATACCTGCTTGAGGCTGTGATATTTTCTGCTCAAGTTTGGCTCTGATACCTGCCACACCTCCATATCTTATCCTATAGCCATCATCCACAAATATAAAGTGGGTGTGGTCAGGATTTAATGGCACAGCCGAGTCATGGAGAATAACGTTACTGGTTCTGAAATCTGCATTAAACTTTCCCTGAAATACAAACATTCACTGGTTTATTGTATACTTATAAATGAAATAGAAACAAATATTGATGAAATAAAATGCATATTTTCATTTTCTGTATTTTAACTGTGAAAATTTTATTTTCATCACAGTCTTATATATTTTCACTGGTGTCTTGCTGGACTGACCTTTATCTAAATTCTGCCTATACACAAAATAAAAGGGGAAGTAAAAAAGAAAGAGTAAAAATGCTTTTTCTATAAATGCAGGATTTATTTTCAACAAATGGTATTTTTACATGAAAATAAATATTTAACAAGTCGCAGTAGATAAAGATAAACCACCAATCTAATACAAGGATTAATATGAACTTAAATAGTGACAGAATAACATACAGGTGAAAAAGTCAAGCGCATTAGAAACCATACCTGTCCATCAACACTCTCCAGAACGCGTCTATTTTTCACGTAACCCCATGGTGCAATACCTATACAGCGTAGTACATGAACCATGCGGTCATTGTCCCAGCAAAATGACTGACCCTGTCTTACAGCTTGACCCACAGCTTTCATCACACCCATATTGAACCCTGATGATATAAGCCATGCTGACGTTGTCTTTGCTGCCTGAAGTAGAATAAATATATAGATGTACTTAATCCTTAACCTGCCAAATTTCTTAAAATAGATTTGCCCAGCTTCCATTTCTGGAACTGTCCATTGTCAATATTAGGGATATCAAATGAAAATTGGCAGTTTGTCAGAGTGGTCAGGTTGCACAGCGTGTTAGCAACATTTTCTTATTTCCCTTTTTTATCACAATTCATCACATTTGAATGTTCAACACAATATTATTATAAATGTTCCTAAACGTTTTTTTTCCTAATACATAGATAACATAAATAAATAAATCTAATATAGTGATATTATAATCTTTTACTATCTGAATTTATTAAATAGACTTGCCCTGTTTTAAATTTAGGAAATCAAATTTAATTCACAAGCTTAAAGTAACAATAGGCTGGTTTTTTAACATTTGTCAAGTCAAGCTGAATTGACTATACATTTCAAAATATTGATTGTTATAATGATGATGCCACACTCTTTTTATATATTTTTGAATGATACACTGGTAATTTTCTGTGGATATTTATAGAGATTTATTTAGGTCAGGTGATTATTGTAAAAATGTAGAAAAGATAACAGTTGAGTTATGTTTGTTATTTCGTTAAATTTTGAAGAAGAAAATACCTTTATCAAACCAGTGGAGAATGTATCCCTCATTCTTCCATCTAATTTAAAGTTTTTGGCTCCGCCCACAACAGAGATGACCAAATTTGGCCGTTCAGGTTCCATAATTTTCCAGTGTTCCTTCATCAGTTCAATCAAATTATCAACAGAATCTTCATCTGTCATTCGAATATACTGGAATAGAAAATTGGTAAAATCCATCAAAATTTAAAATGATATTTCATGCTTTCATTAAATTTCATTCAGTGTCATTAAGGAATTGTAAAAACTAAGATCTCAAGTACTTTATTGGTCTGAAATTAGCACATTTTGTACACCAACAAATGATAATCATGAGATTTGAGACAGAGCCCTTAAAAGTTTTATAACCTGTAGGCCTTAACATATTCCCAGTACTTGATTATATTAACAGTTGTGCAGTTATTATTTTCTTTATAAAAATGACTGTAACTGTGTGTGCAAAAGTTTCAAATGAATTTCTTTAATTATTGTGGATACTTAATATTGAGCTTGCATGCAAGACTGTAAGCAAATAAAATTTCTACAAGTGCATTACTACAAAGGGGAATAACTAAATAATAGTAAATTCTCACACATACAATTTAACAAATAAGACCTTTAGAAAGACTTGTGGTTAGTTTCAAAGGCATACCAGTAGTCAACTAATGGGATTGTCCAGAAAGCACCTACATGCAAAATTCAACTTGATGAAAAAATTAAATGGCCAAAATATTAAGGATTTTTTTTAGATATATAGAACAACTGACGATAGGTAAGCTCAAACTTATTGGATTTGTTACAAATACAGCTGAAGAGATTGGCACCTGGACAATCAAAATATCACACTGATTTCTTTAAATAGTTTAGCTAAAAAAGACATCATTTAAACATACAAAAAATGTTTATATGTTTCGATTATGAACTTTAAGCCGTAGCTAACTTAGGGCATCATATCATTCATCTGACCAATGCAGACCACATACTCCTTTGCCATCTGATCCTGATCTACACTTTCACCATTCTCTCAGTAAACACTTTCACCATTCTATCAGTACTTATTTTTCAAATTTTCCTTATCATTTTGAATGCAAAAATCAAGATAGAAAGATGGACAAGTCCATTTAAGATATTTAACGACTAGTAATTGTTAAACATGCCGAGGAAAGTATCCACATAAAGAAAAGAATCTTGTACCTTTGCTGGTTTTTTGCCGCCTGAATGTTCCACATTCTCAAAATTTATTTTACCAAATGCACATGAAGCTGTTGTTCTAATATCTTTCTTCCAGGTGACTGCCGGGAGTTTCTCAGGAGGTGGGTCCTGACGTCGTTCTCTCGACATTAACTTTTGTAGCTCTGGATAAAAATCAACAAATGAGCTTCATCACGACAAAACCAACATAATGCGTTTGCAACAAGCATGGATCCAGACCAGCCTGCGCATCCGCGCAGTCTGATCAGGATCCATGCTGTTCGTTATCGGTTTCTCTACTTGTAATAGAGTTTGTAAGCGAACAGCATGGATCCTGATCAGACTGCCCGGATGCACAGGCTGGTCTGGATCTATGCTGGTCGTAAACGCATTATGTTGGTTTTGTCATGACGCGGCTCAAATGTTACAGTGATTTATGTAGGCAACTAATTTCAGATTATAATGTGTCTTGTGACTTGTAAATCTGCATTCTCCATAAATACTCACCAGGTACTGAAAATCAGTCAATTATTGCATTAAATGTACATGTATATTATTAGTTGAAACTTGATCCACCAACAAACCATAAGCTAGAGGAGAGCAATTCTCATAATTATAAAGAAACCAAAGACCGTTATAGCAATTATAAAATAAAGAGGTTTACCTTTAGGTACAAGATATTCCAGCATCATATCAGCTGATGAGAAATGGGGAAATGGTCCTTGCATGCCTGCATGCTCCATCAATACCTCTCCACAATGACATCTGTAATATAACCCTTGTGTTACATACAAATATTTCAGCATATTACAAAATGACTTTTTCTTGACAAGTTGTACATTATCATGGGATATCTTGTTCAATTTATAGCTAATATCTACTTGAATTGAAATTACTTACATTATATTATTATAAAACAGAAACATATTTTCTCACCTAAAGATGTTTGAGACAAGATATTGAAGAAATTACACTTAATGGAAAAGTGCATGAATTAAAGGTTTTTTTTTTTTAAAGAAACATGGTCAAATATATTTCTTTTAAAAAATTATTATACCAATTTCTACAAACTTATACTAACTGGAGATCTCTGATTTTCTTTTTAGCTTTAGGTCCTGTGGTTTGCCCAGGCTTTGGCACAAAAGATGCACATTCCTTCTGACGAAAATGGTTGCGAACAAACACCCGAATCTCTTTGATTTTCTGTTGATAAGGGTCTTCCTCTTCAACATAAAACACTGATCCACTCTGACTACGACCAACACTCTTTGCTTTCTTAGGAATCCCTGACATACCAGGAACCTTCTTGCGTACTCCAATCCATCGAGCCTCTTCCAAAGTCATCCGGTTGCGTTGAGACTCCATCTCAACATTCGACACTGATGAGATAGCTGCCCCCCTATAATCTGCCGTGGAATATCCAACATCCATGTCAGATGTTCCCGGGAACACACGACTGTCGGCCATTTTTCCTTCCTAACTTTATTCCAGATGATCTAATATCTATGCAGTTTTACAAGTTACATCTGGAATCCATTCTACAAATAATAATAAATAGTCAAAATAAGCTTGACTGTAAATAAGATTTGTTTACTACAAGCTAAAACTAAAACATAATTGTTAAAGATCAAATTGAAAATGTTAAAAGAATAGTAGCCTGCTGTTCAGTGTTGGATCAAGCTAGATTATGGTCAGACCTCTAGCATTAAGAACATAATTATGCTCCACTTTATGAATCTCTGTTCTAGTCTACAGAGATTAAGGGCCATGAAATGACTCTCAATATCCCTTTCAACAATATTCCCCATCATGGTTTGGTTTATTTCTCCCAATATTTTGACTAAAAATGTTTTTGTTTATAAATATGTGTTCTCGCAGATATCCTTGTTATAAAGGATACTTGAAGTAACATTAAGCTTTATAATTTGCATTTAAAAAATATTTTGTTAAATTAGTATGAATATAATGTCAAACAATTTCTTAGAGATGTTTAATAGTCTCGCTCTCTGATTTCTTTTTTTTAATTATATTTTCAACAATTAATTCAAAGATCTTTTATTTGCATTTAAAATGGATATTAAAGCCATGCTTTTCTTGAAGTTTGGTTTGTGTAACTGCATATTACAATGTTGATTTTTTTGTCATTTACTTTATAACATGTGACATTAATTTAACTGAACAACCAACTAATTGTAAACGCTGTCATCTTCTGGTCAAATTGAGCATTAACGTCTCAAGTTTCTTTAATTTATCAAGTGCTGTGAACGATGTATTTAAGACAACTAGCGTGAGATTTTGATTGTCTTTAAGCAGTTCTTGCTTCCAAAACATTATACTTTTTTTAGCCACTTTTTAAACATTTTTTCATTTTTTCTTCCATCTGATGCACCATTAAACATAGATGTCCTATCACATTATAAAACTGGGTAATCTTTTGGCATTTCAATGTTCATATAACATGATTTATATTTATGAAACTTTAACTGTAATAACTATAACATCCGAATATTTTAATTATAAATTACATATGATTTAGACACTGCACTAAACCATTGATCAGCTCTGTCATTTGGACACTAACATTATATACCTTGTACAGTTGCTTGTCTCTCTGTAATACTTATTATTATAAGTAGTCTGGATTTTTATATGATTTCACGGTACTTAATGTCACTTAGAAAATATTCAAATATAAATATCATACATGAATGAGATTCAATGTCTTCTATTTAATCAGTGAACCTTTTTCCAAAACTGTTGTCAAAAAATTGTTTCAAAAGATCCAATTAAAATTACATTTTTTAAACTATTTCCAATGTCTACCATTTTGTTTGTTTGTTTTGGGTTTTACGTCACAACGACACAGTATAGGTCATATCGCAACGTTCCAGCTTTACTGGTGGAGGAAGACCTCAGGTGCCCTTCCGTGCATTATTTCAGGCACGAACGGGTACCTGAGTAGAACCACCGACGTTCCGTAAGCTAGCTGGACTACCATTTTGGGTAATTACAGAGAGGTTACTATGGTATCATGGTAATCCCCCCAAAAATCAAGTATGTTCAAGGACTAAGATGGGTCTAATAACTTTCAAGTAAAGTTGTGAAAAACTTCCAACAGTAAACCTGCTATAAAATTCAAACTATATGAACAGACAATATGTCAGAATATGTGATTAGAACATATTTTAATTGACTGTGTAAAAACGATTAAGGAAAATAGTGGTCAAATATGAAGGTTTTATAAAAAAGTTTTCTTGCCACGAATACATGGCAGATGAAAATGAAATAAGTGTGCCAGTTTAAAAAATATCAGCATCACTGTGACTGTTGCTTTTACTTAAGCAGTCAAAGTAAATGAAAATACCGTGATATCATAGAACCGTGATATCATAGGAACTGAGTATACGTCCCAATTTGAATATTGCATAATTAATTATCTAATTATCATTAGGTTCTTATATATATGTTATTTTAGGGGGTTTTGTTTAGCTCTTTTTTGTTGACATCTAATGCATAAGTCAGGCGAATCAATAAAATATCGAAATCTTAAACTGCCAATACATAGAATATATCAATACTGTACAGTACCTTGAAGTAATAAACAATAACGTAAAATTAGTGATTATTAGCTGATTAGTTGATGGCCTACTTTAATTCTTTACTGTATCCATTTTTTTCAAAATTCAAATAATCTTTAGTATCATAAGTTGTCAGTTGAAAATGGAAAACTTCGAAAATAAAACTGATAGTCGTGAACATTAATTGAAATTGTATTAAAAAACGTTTTACCTGTAATTACCTGCAATCAGTTATACATGTTGCAACCATGGCGAGTATGTACACTTCCTGTCTAAACAAAAATCGAAAGGCGTGAATTCGGAAATGGAAACAGAAAACTGTTGACGGTCGTTTAAAGCTAAATTTAAATGAAGATATTAATTAACAAGTATACTATTAAATAAATATTGTGTTTGTGAATTTAATTTGATATAATTTTGATGTTTTCGGAATCATCTTATAAATAAATCCTTTTCGTTTTCCGTCTCTAGTTATTTCCCTTTACTGCGAGGTGAAGGTCATATAATTTTTTTTACCGGCGAAGGTCAGTTGGTTGAAAGGCACTAATAATGGCCACTAAATACACAGTCGTTCTAGTAAGGCATGGTGAAAGCGAATATAACAAGGAAAACAGGTTTTGTGGATGGTTCGATGCAGATCTTTCAGAGTTAGGTGTCCAGGAAGCAAAGAATGCTGGAAAGGTAATTTCACTAAGTTTCGTTCTCAGCATGTTTCGACCCATTTTGAACTGAGATGAGTTTTAGGAATAAATTTGAACAAAATGAATTATGTGTGTGCAATGTCTGGTTTTTTTATGTCACATAGTTGTCAAATTGTTGTCTAAACGAAAGTGAATGAGTGAAACATCAGTGTTTCATCTAGAATTTCAAAATGATGTGGGATTGTCCCCCACTCAACTGAAAAATGTGGGGGATTTGAAAAAAATGTGGGGGACATGCATTCACCTAACAATGTGACTTACCAAAAAAAATTCATTTGATTTATGTTCAGGCATTTTTAAAGCTATCGCGTCTGCTCCACAACTGAAATATAAAAAATTAAATATTGAAGAATACTTGTAAAGTGTGCAGATCAAACTATCAAGCTAGATGATAATTAAAATCAGAATTTGTTACAAGATTAAATTTTACATCACCCTTCTAAATAAACTGATGCTGGAGACAAGTGATTGACAGGTGCTTGGAATCGTTTGGTGTGCTAGAAGTGTCAATCATCATTTAAGGGCGGTCCTAATCTCTTATCCAGACTTCAAAAGTCTTTGTTGACATGTGTATGTAACTGCTTGGTAAATGTAGGCAGAGTCATTTATGCAGAGAGTTGTTAACACTTTTGATCAGCAAGCAGCAGGGGGTAAATAATCTTCTAATTGACGGAGAAAGGTCACACATCTTTATCAATCAGTGGATCAGTGTCAACAGTTCTTGTGTATTACTAAATCAGTAAATGGCTGGGAAAATCTATCTGATATCGATGTGATATCAGCGTCTTAGGATAATTAACATACAAATATAATTGCAATATTGGAACTGTTCTTGCTGCAAATAAGTTCCAAATTTTTATTTTTCCCTGAAAAAATCTTTTTCGGGACCATTGGCTGATTTCGATGACAATAGTTGATTTCGATGACAATCCCAGACGTCCGGGACGTTATGGCATGAATGGATTTATACAGTGAAACATTCAACCAGTTATCTTTATTTACAATTCTACTGATAAAAATAGCTGTTTCCTTCTAGTTCGAAACTTTCAATTGGTGTATTTATGAGGATTCACCGGCACATAATACACAAATGCTACTAATGGCTTCATAATTTCCACACTTACTTTATAATACCCATACAAAGTACATGATATAGCCAAGTTATATAAGTGTGCCATCCATTTTCCAGTAAGTTACCTTTTAATCATCTTGAAAATGGGGCCTGGTAGGGTCAACCTATTCTGGCAAGTTGGAGTTTTCTTAAATTTATGATTACTTCATTTATTAAATTATTTGATGATATCTTCCATATTTGGTAGATATATACCTTCATTGGCCCTCTAACTTTTTGTGGAGTAACTGGTCACTTGTCAAGGTCAAGGGAACTGTAAAAAAAAATTATACAGCATTTATTAATATATGGATGTCTTTCATATTTCATATGGATTTGCTTAGGCAGGTACACTTTACCTTCTCCTTCAGGTTAAATTATGGGCCATTTTGGTCAAGATCAAGTTAACCTGGATGCCAAAAATAAATTTGTTAGCAAGATTATTTGCATGGTCTTCCTTTTGATTGAGTTAGGGGTCAGTGGGTCAAGGTCTAAGGTACTTTAATAGATTTTTACACATTTTCTTATACAGCCTTTATTTATTATCTGCCTTTCTTTATTGACTGATGTTTTTCATATTTGGTAGGAATATATCTTGTGTGGTCTTATTCCTCTGGATTTAAGGTCAGCAGGTCAAGGTAAAAAATGCTAAAAATAGATTTTTACACATATAAAGAGCTGAGCACTTCAGTCCTACAAGATTCTCTGAGATATTTCTTTGCTTAAGGTCAAGATAATTTATTAACTTAATAAATTACCAAATTAAATGAATATGTTTTCCTATGAATTTTGAATCAATATAATGTTTACATTTCATTTCCTTAGTAAACCGATGATTGAATTGGCCTCCTTTTGAGCTATGACATTTCCAGTTACGACACCGGTATTCCAGAACTTAAAAATTTAAAGTATACTGTATGTTATATCTGTATATTTTACGCATTTTATGTATTAATTAATTGCTTTGCAATTAAACGTATGGTCAAAAAAGAAAAAAAGTAAGAAAAAAATAAACAGAAAATTCAATTTGGATTTATTTTCATCTTTTGGTATGAAACTTATCTAACATGTATTTTACTTAAGGTTACTGGTTAATTTCACACCATTTGATGAAAATAAACCCCATATTTATAGAAAAAAACATGAAT